CTGGTAAGACCCTAGTTCTATGGCTGAGGGCTTCTCTAACGAGCGTACTGAAGTAGATGCTAGAACTGGTAAGACCCTAGTTCTATGGCTGAGGGCTTCTCTAACGAGCGTACTGAAGTAGATGCTAGAACTGGTAAGACCCTAGTTCTATGGCTGAGGGCTTCTCTAACGAGCGTACTGAAGTAGATGCTAGAACTGGTAAGACCCTAGTTCTATGGCTGAGGGCTTCTCTAACGAGCGTACTGAAGTAGATGCTAGAACTGGTAAGACCCTAGTTCTATGGCTGAGGGCTTCTCTAACGAGCGTACTGAAGTAGATGCTAGAACTGGTAAGACCCTAGTTCTATGGCTGAGGGCTTCTCTAACGAGCGTACTGAAGTAGATGCTAGAACTGGTAAGACCCTAGTTCTATGGCTGAGGGCTTCTCTAACGAGCGTACTGAAGTAGATGCTAGAACTGGTAAGACCCTAGTTCTATGGCTGAGGGCTTCTCTAACGAGCGTACTGAAGTAGATGCTAGAACTGGTAAGACCCTAGTTCTATGGCTGAGGGCTTCTCTAACGAGCGTACTGAAGTAGATGCTAGAACTGGTAAGACCCTAGTTCTATGGCTGAGGGCTTCTCTAACGAGCGTACTGAAGTAGATGCTAGAACTGGTAAGACCCTAGTTCTATGGCTGAGGGCTTCTCTAACGAGCGTACTGAAGTAGATGCTAGAACTGGTAAGACCCTAGTTCTATGGCTGAGGGCTTCTCTAACGAGCGTACTGAAGTAGATGCTAGAACTGGTAAGACCCTAGTTCTATGGCTGAGGGCTTCTCTAACGAGCGTACTGAAGTAGATGCTAGAACTGGTAAGACCCTAGTTCTATGGCTGAGGGCTTCTCTAACGAGCGTACTGAAGTAGATGCTAGAACTGGTAAGACCCTAGTTCTATGGCTGAGGGCTTCTCTAACGAGCGTACTGAAGTAGATGCTAGAACTGGTAAGACCCTAGTTCTATGGCTGAGGGCTTCTCTAACGAGCGTACTGAAGTAGATGCTAGAACTGGTAAGACCCTAGTTCTATGGCTGAGGGCTTCTCTAACGAGCGTACTGAAGTAGATGCTAGAACTGGTAAGACCCTAGTTCTATGGCTGAGGGCTTCTCTAACGAGCGTACTGAAGTAGATGCTAGAACTGGTAAGACCCTAGTTCTATGGCTGAGGGCTTCTCTAACGAGCGTACTGAAGTAGATGCTAGAACTGGTAAGACCCTAGGTATATGGCTGAGGGCTTCTCTAACGAGCGTACTGTAGTAGATGCTGGAAATGGTAAGGCCCTAGTTCTATGACTGAGGGTCTTCATCTCATCTGATACTGTATTGTGAGGAATGGTGCTCTTTTGACCTGGCTTGGACGTTGCTGACATACCATGGTCACAATTGCAGAAGTGAAAAAAAGAAATGATGTTGATGTTTTTGGATTGCCAATCATAACTATATTCTATACATGTCCATGTGATGGCCTTTCCTTGTCAATCTTGTCAGTTGTACCAGAGGCGCCGATATACAACCATAACGTATATACACGTCTGTGGTTCTACTATACTGGTCTCAGTATTATTTGCATAGTCAAGATATGTTATGAGAGTGACTTAATTAGTTAAGTCCCAGTTCTATCACTGAGGGAACCCATCTCTACCCCCGACTTATCGCACAGTCCATATGTGTATTGTGAGGAATGGTGCTCTTTTGACCTGGCTTGGACGTTGCTGACATACCATGGTCACAATTGCAAATGTGAAAAAAAATCTAGTAAGATCCTCTACATCGGACAAATAAGATAAAAAATATTCATGTCAGGTTGGTTTCCTCGACGGAATAAGATTATCTAAGTATGTGGTTCCTCCATACAAACATGAAAGTCGTATACCAAACCTGTTTACAGCTTTTAACAAACCCCACATAGCATGCCACGCACCTATATTTCAGTAACGTTGTGTGCAGGCAAAATCACCAGCGCGAGTAATGTGTCGGGACAAAATTACATTACAGGAGGAATGAGATTGTTATCTCAGTCCGTGATTACCCCCAGGCACAGTATATATAAGCTAACAAGATGAGACTTACATTTGTATCCGGGTGGTGTAGGTAGGAAATCTACAACAGAGACATGTGAAAATATCGGCTTCATACGTCTTTGGGCTCTAACAAAACTTCAAAACAACAAGCAAAACATGTTTTTTTCAGTCTCATTTCTCTTAACCGTATTAACAAAACTCAACGTTAATAAGCTAATCAGTAGGGGAACAAACGCACTCTCCTGGGCAAGTAATGTGGAGACAATACTAAGGCAAGCCAAGTTGTCATTTATTCATGGAGCAATGTTGATCCAGTACTTATCCAAATTATATAAGATATCTTATAAACATTTAAGATATCTTATTTAAAGTTTATGAGATATCGTATATCTATAATATATAAGATATTTCATATTTTTTTCTTTATAAGATATTGTATTTATTATATAAGATATCTTATAGCTGTTATAAGATATCTTATATCTTTTATAAGATATTTCAATTAATTTTCTTTATAATATATCATATATATTATATATCTTATATAAGATATCTTATGAAGAAAAGTTTATGGGATATCTTATAAAGAACGAGACTCTCGCGAGACCGACACAGAAGAAATGTTTGAATATGACTGCTCCCGTTGTAAGGTCACCTTCGTTTTCGTTGGCGATAATTTGGCTAAGTACTGGATCAACATTGCTCCATGAATAAATGACAACTTGGCTTGCCATAATTATATGTAGTTTCAATTTGATAACTGGTCCCATTGTCATTGCCTGCCATTTTCGATCAAATCCTCTCGAACGCCCTCGGTTATCGATAGATTCCGAGCGCTGTGGGGGAGGGTTTATTATCTCAAATTCAAATCTCGTTCTTTATAAGATATCTTATAACCGAATTATAGGATATCTCATTTAATTTTGTTTAAAAGATATCTTATCTTATAAAAGATATAAGATATCTTATATATTTTATGAGATATCTTATATATTATCACGGAATTAGATGTTATCTAAGTCCGTGATATTATATAAGATATCTCATAAAAGATATATCATCAGCGCGAGTACTGTGTCGAGTACTGTGTCGGGAATATTATATAAGATATCTTATGAAGAAAAGTATGTTAGTTATCTTCAGGGACGTATAGTGAAGGGGATTAGCAACTCCTTCTCTGCCTTACCAATTTTATGACACGTCAATCTAGACTTACCTCCCCCTGATTCCGGAGCAGATAGCGAGCGCCACCTATCTCAATTTTGACAAAGCAAGATGGCGTCGATATCGCTTCGTTAGATCAGAGACCTAAAGTAAATTTAGGTATATGGTTAGATGCAGAAGTTGGTGTGAAAACAAACCAATCTCGATAAGTGTTCTTACGTCTTTTGTTTATCCCATTGTAGTAAGCTGATTGTATTACTTTTAATTGATAAAATCTGTGTGTCATAGTAATTGATGTCTCGTTTTTGGGGTATATTTTTCTATTTCTAAACGCGATGTAACGCGTGGTTCAGAGTATTGTGGTGGACGTCGATAGACAAAAATGCGGGATTAAAAAAAAACCCCACATGTATGTGAACCACCTCACTCCAAAAGTATTTGACCGATCTTTTTTAAATTAGCAGCAATAGAAAGCTGAATAATTTTTATAACGACCCAACCCATTTTAATTGCAATTAATATAATTTAACTTATGTTATTTTTGTGTCAAAAAGACTAAATATCAGCAATATTTTTCACTGGAACGTAAATCATGGCGAAAGTAGTTGGTAACTGCTCACTGTTTTGGTTAATTTTATAAACTATCGTTTGTATTTTTTAAAACAATTAATATCAATAAACAGCCGAGTAATTTCTATGTTAAGTAGGCCTGATTTGATTTGCATTATTTGGAACGATAGCGATGTCACAGATGAAATTACTCGTCTGATAACGAAGGACACGTGTGGTTAAAAACCGTAAACAACCGGAAATGTTAAACGCAACCAAAAAGTATTGCTTGCATTCGAGGATCAGCTCATTTAAAATATACTTCTTCTTGAAATTTACAGCGATAGAAAGTTGAATATTTTTTTGATATGTAGTTCTAATTTTTATGGCAACAAATAACAAATAACTTGTGCTGTTTTTGTGTCAAAAAGTGTTAATATTGGCATTATTTTCACTGGAACGTGCTTTACGAAATGTGATTTGTTGTAATAGCCACCAACACAGCCGAAAGGCTAGACATAGTGGCAACGATAGCCCTGTCCCTGGAATAAAAAGAAGACCTACTAATACACAGTCCCAATTAGGGCTAACCGCAAAACACTTCGATCTCGGCGAGATTGTGACATGACACCGAAAGCAGGTGCGTGCTTAATTTTAACGCTAGTGCGCAAGCGCGGGCTGATCGAGAGGGACTCTCGATGACTTCGCGGTTCGGTGAACAAACACAAAAGCGACGTGCTATAGAATCTTGACTGGGGCAGAGTTGCCAATCCCCTCTATATACTGTCCCTGGTTATCTTAAAGTATATAAGATATATCATTTATTATATAAGGTATCTTATAAAGTATATAAGATATCTTATATAATTATACAAGATATATTATGTAATTTAATTAAGTACTGGATCAACATTGCTCCATGAATATACTTTTAACAAGGATCACATTGTAGAACTTTATGTGATAAATTTTAACAACTCATATAATCCTGGGCCCTCAGTGAATTCATTATCTCATTGATATTGTTTCTTTTATTGACTGTTTAAAGAAAATGTTCCATGTTCATATGGAACTAATTATTACGCCTTTGAAAAAAAATACTACAAGCCAAATATGAAAATGATAAGTATTTTATGTCTCAAACTGCACCAGAATGGGTTCCAGATTCCGAAAAAATCTCGGGGGGTACCCCCCCCCCCCCANTTAGGTTCTAACGAACCCACACCAGGCATAGCACTGCGCCTGGATCGAACGCACCGACTGTTGTTCACTCGGGGTCATTTTCCCGCGTTTAACACCACAGCTACATGTGCGCATGGCGATGAATGGTGGAAACAACATTGAAATCATGTCGAATGGCGACGTTCCTGTGAAAAAGCAGCGATTTAACACCCGTGTGCCTGTAAACGTAGTTTTAGGAACACAGTGGGGAGATGAAGGAAAGGGCAAAATCGTCGACATGTTGGCGACCGACGCCGATATCTGCTGTCGATGTCAGGTAAATAACATCTTTCTTCAGGCTTACGATAAACAAGAGACTCGGGAAACTAAGTTACGGTAAGATCGCGGAAATTGATATTTTTGTACAAATCTACAAAGAACTCAAATGCAAAAAACTACATGTTTGCGAAACAAGTTTTGCTAGACATCAGACCAGAGACCCTCTTCAGCGTCAAAACACCAGACCTGTCCCATGATCATGCCAGCTAATATTTGGAAAGACCTTGAGAATGTCATTGAATTTCGATATATTTCACTTGACAGTCATCAACACGTTACGAGATAAGTGTTAACACATATATTCAAGTTTTGTTAAAGAAAGTAAAACAATGATACGAGATAAGATTTTTGTATGTGTCGGCCTCGAGCCCAATATCGAACAAGACGCGTAGGTCGCTGTACGAGGTCAAACAGATAAAAGAGGTACTTGTAAGCCGTAGGGTAAATCAGTACATAATATAATTCCTTCAATCGTAATCGTTTGAGCGGCTGGTAGACTCTACCTTACTATCATTAGGCAGCAAATGTATTTAACTCGAGTGATAATTCTAAATTTCAAGTTTTAAGAAATATTGATAGTGATTTTTGTTTAATTGAGATTACGGTAATTTTCAGGGGAAAAGAAAAACATGATCACTGTTACTTGCAGACGGCACCAAAATTATACATGGAATTGATAGGTACCTAAGTCGTTCAAAGTGCAGATAAACTAACGATGGGTAGCAAAATGTTAACTGGTATACGTTTGTCCCACCCCCCAAAAATATGCAAAATTATATCGCTCGTCTGCAGGAGATAGAAAAAGGTATGCTCACTTCCGGTCATTGTCAATTTCTAAAGTACCTTTTCTCATCACATAAATGTCTCTTCGATGAACTTCTTAGAAAAATAACACCTTGTTATATCAATATTTTTTATGAATAACACATAGTTATATCAATATTTTTTATTGATTGGGCACAATGCATAGCAAAAAAGTATACCCTAAGCGTGCAACAATGATGCTTAGGAAAAACCTTTTTTCAATAAGAACAGTGACAATATGGAAGGATCTGCCTGAAAATGTTGTCTCCGCACCAAATGTAAATGTATTCAAAAACAGGCTAGATACCCACTGGAAACATCAAGAACTTTTCTTTATCTACAAATCATTAATCAAAGCATAGACATTAATTAACGTGTACCAAGTAGAAATATATATATTTATGTATTGTGTAACATAAGAGTCTGGTATAGAGGACTTTCACTAGTCCTGAACCGGAAATAAACTTAACTTAACACTCAAATAATTTTCTGATTACAGATCGATTCAGTTCTCTACACTTTTCATCCGAGTGTTTTTTCTGTTCTTGCGAAAAGATTACAATAGACTTTTTTTCCAGATAATATCTTTACTCTCGTTTCCACCTGCACTTTTTGACCTTTTTCATGAGCAACACTTTTCGCATGCTTCATTAGTCTCTAGTACTGTAGGGTGTTCTCCAAGTGTAGCACCTTTCCCAGTAAACGGGCCAAGACTCTGATTGTCACTTTCCTTGTACACAAATTCACAAACAGAACAAAAACATTGCCTTTTTTCATTTTTGGATATCCATGGGAACTCGCCTTTGTAGGTAATGATGTTGAAAAACCGTCGATCAGATATATATTGTTTTTTCTTTAGGTGAGTTAACTTGCAATTGACAGTCAGAGTCAGGCTCGGCGATTGACTCAGATCGCGGAAATACCAATGTCGGTTCTTCTCGACAAGTGGAATCGGACCGGCACGCGGTGTTGGGATTTTTGCGTTTAAAGAAAGCAGACAGGCTTTTGCTTTTTTTTTTTGGCATAGTATTTGCCGTTGTGAGACGACACCATATTTCTGATTCCTGATCAGCTAAGCGTTTGCAGACGACTTGCATTCTATACGCAAAAACAATGACCAGAATTAAAATTGGTAATCAGTTGGGAATTTCAGCGGGGCAATTCAGAATTATTTTGATGAAATCTCATTGGGAATGGAATTGGTACCCGACCCCATTTATATAGGCTGATAAATCACTGTAATCGATCTTCAATATCGGACCGATTTCTTGCAATAGTCTACACTTTCATGCGGGCGGAACAAAATTGGCTTGAAAAACACACTTAGGTGTATTTATTGACACTGTTGAACATTTAAATGTATGTAAACACGATATACTTTTTCTAAATCCGAAATCCGAACTTTGAAAATTTGATTGTCAGCATCGGGAAAACCTCTAACATTGTTGGAGTAGGTTTGAGGTTGATGGGAGCTTAACTGTTGGAGGAATAATTCATGGATTCTCTTGATTTAAAAAAAATACATATATAAAACTTTCCTACCTATGTGTGAAGACTGCCCACAAAGGATTAAAAACAGGAGTAGCCCGGCCATTTGGCAAAAAGCAATGACAAAAATAATGACAGTATTTACAGAATTTTAATTCAATTTCAATCAATTTGGCTATTAAATCAATGAAAATACATTCTGACAAATTACCGGTACATTCAAATAAACATTTAATACAATTTCAATTTTAAGAAATCATTATCAAAATAAATTTAAGTTAATACCAAATGAGAAATTGATATTTTTGTATCTAAATGAAAACAGGAAAAAGCTTACTGAAATAAATTTAGTAAAAAAAACATGATTGCTTTATGCTTTTGACATTAAAGTACTAGGGTATCTTATTCAATTTAACCCTCTATAAACACAGGTGTTTACTGGTTATCAAATGAATCTTCCTGAAAAATTAATACCAAATGAGAAATTTAGTATCATTTATTGTGAGAATACATACAGAAGACTTAAAAATACATACAGAAGACTTAAAACAAATAAGCATACAACGCTATTGCTTCACACTACAATCGTAGGCAAAAGGCTATATATAATACATTTAAAAAAAAGATGTTTTAGTAAAAAAAATAAAAAATCCCTACCTACCTACCTGAAGTCAAAATATTATGGTGATAGGAAACACATATTATTTTATTTGGCCTTATGCAATGTGTTGTAACATTATTAATTACTATAACATTGTTCGTAAAGCTCTGTGTCCAATCATCAGCCATTTAAGTAATAATATTAAATTCAGTCGGGTATAATATTTGGTCACTTGGTCAAAGTTTTTATGACAACGAAAGCAAAATTTTAAACATGACTGTTTGTTGGGTGTATACTACAGCTGATAGTATACACTGAATACCAAGGTACTGTGTTAGTGGGCTGTGTGTAGGTGGTTGTTTACCCTACTAATAACTACCTAATTAATAAAGTCTGTAGCTTGGTAGTCCTGAATGGGTGCCATTTTCCTCAGGCTGAACATAGGATCTGTGTCATGTATACATTCCTGCTGCTCAGGAGTGATGGTGTAACCACAGTGTAGCAACACCAGTACATAATTCTGTACAGAACCAAGACGCACAACTTGTTGGACCACTTCTATCAGGATCATGAAACCACTACTACACAAGCTAGTGCGACTTACAATAGAGCAACAAGCCAGATACAATTAATGTATGTCTAGAAGAATCTACTGCACTTTGGATTAGCTTTATAATTATTTACAAGGCATAAACAAAATTAATTGTGGCTGTTTTCCTTACCAACCCTATTTTTTGACAATTACTTTTTTTATATTATTTGAACCACTTTTTGCAAAGTACTTCTAAAGTTGACATCCTTGTTTTGAATGTTTTCTATATCCTTTAAAAAACAGTCCCAAATCTGTGTGTGTCTGCTGCTATTGAAAAATCTAAATTAGGTATTTAGAAAAGTGATGGATCAGTGGAGACCAGGTATTTGTCCAATCTATTTAAATGCTATATTTTGATATATAAAAATTATACATAATTGACATCACCTTTCTTCTCGTACCAATATATAGTACACGAACGTCATGAGTTTAAATGATATATTTTGATATATAAAAATTATACATAATTGATATAAAAATTATACATAATTGACATCACCTTTCTTCTCGTACCAATATATAGTACACGAATGTCATGAGCAACACCCTGTCTACAACTATTTTTAGCTCACCTGTTATTAGTAACCAAGAGGGGCAGTAGATCCCTGCCTCCGCATCCATGTCAGCTATATAGGAGGGGGGGGGGGGGGGGGGGGATTAAAATCAAAAGTGTTGCAGTAGATAAACTTGCTTTCTGCAATGTCCGCTAATTATATAATTATAATATTCGTTGCCTCTCAGTCTTACAATGATAAGCATGCAATGGGATACAGCACTAGCTGGCCTATTCTGCCCCCAAACCAGCATGACTGCAAACAGTAAAAAATTGAGGTTCAATCGTCGCCATAAAGTATACATTTTAATTGTTATTACTTTTAAAAAAGGTGTGATTTATTTAAAAAATAAAAAAAAAAATCTATGTGAAAAAATATGCATGTAAACTAAAAATTGCAACCTGGTGAGCTTTTAAGTACAAAGCAATATCATTCACACATTTACTTTAAAAGAAGGTAATAGTATTCCTGACTGCAATTACATTTTATTGCTTTCAGTTGCGGTCCAATCAAATATGCTTGTATTTACAGAGGTTTCACATGCGACACACTTATATAATTATCTTACAGTAGTTTGGTAATTTTCAAATTTAAAGAAGAATAGAGCTTTAGAAAAAGATTTTTTTTTAAAATATCATCAGCCTTTGATATCATTATAATTATCAGCATATTATCCAATTGCAAATTTTGATTTGTTAATTACTAGTTAAGTGGGCTAGCAATTCTTAGAATCACTAGTCCAACTGAAACTTTCACTAGTCTCGGACTATCAGGCTACCGTTATTCTTGAGCCCTGGCTTCACTTCAGGACAGACTTTTGTTTATTAGGGGATGTCTTCGTGTAGAGACCGACTTCCTGTTTATTCCAATGAAGAGACGGACTTCCTGTTTTGAAATATTAGGAGATGTCTCATATATTAGGGGCAGGCTTTCTGATTACCTGGTGAAAATTTAGGAGAGTTCATTGATTGGGAATTTGTTTTTCATTCAAAAAGGGAAACAGTTACTGGGAATACTACCCAACTTCAGTGATAAAACTATATATCTAGGTTAATCCCAGACAGGTGTACAGTAAAATCTTGTGAGTGTGGAGGGATAATCCTCGCCTTCAAACTGAAATTGACCCCTCCATGTTCCAATTTTCTTTTAATTTTACCTAGAATGGCCCGTCTTAATTTGGATATTGACTAAAAATTTATGAAAATGGTCCACTGCTCTCAAATTCCAGGATTTTTCCCGAGTGTGGAGTAGTTGTTTCCTGACTCAAATGCGTAGTATCTAGTAGTTGTTTCAGAATTTTACCCGAGCCCTGCTGCATTAACCAAATTTGAAATATTTTTTTTAGAAAGGAAGGGAAAAAACAAAATTGAAGCTCTAGATCTATATGCAGTGAAATTTGTAAATAGATAAAAATGGTTAAGCAGTGTTGCCACTGAATTTAAGTTTTTGGGGTATATTTGATACAATTTCAAGATTCTGTACCCCGAGGTACTCATTACATAAGGCAATCCTTGAAAACTTGTGGTACAACCAACGGTTTGGGGTTGAAAAACCCTCATTTGATAGTTTTTGGGAACACTGATTAAGTAGGGAAAATATGAGAAATTATGTTTATTTTAATGATTACAGTAAGTCGTTGTAATACAGTATTTTATTTGCTAAAATCAAACAACAGGCAAGAAAGTAGTGATGAATGTGTGACAGCAAGAAACATATTTTTCATAGCATTTTAGTGTGAAAGCACTTGTTCTTCGCATTACGGTTGTGAAGATGTCAAACCCCTAAATTACAAACATCAACTTAATTTGCCTGTTTTGTTGATAGGGAGGAAACAATGCCGGACACACCGTGGTGGTAGGGGACAAAGCGTATGACTTCCACCTCCTGCCCAGTGGTATTGTCAACAGCAAGTGTGTGGGTGTTATAGGTAAGTATTACAATTAAATATTTGAGTGTCATGGTAGAACGTCTAGTTAGACATACAAGGCTTGGATGGCCTAGGTTAAACTTTTTCTTTCAATGATTGTTTGGATGTGTTGTTTTGGTAATGTAAATTGTGTGTTTTTTCTACAAAATAATCATGCCCAATTATGATCAGTAGTATGCAAAATATATATTCAAAAAAATTCAGCATTTATATGAAAGCTTCATCATTTTCCTTGCAGGAAATGGAGTTGTGATTCATTTGCCAAATTTGTTTGATGAGATCAGTAAGAATGAGAAGAAAGGTTTGACGGACCTTAAAGAGCGCCTGATAATCTCCACAAGAGCACATCTAGGTAGGTATTCCCCCTTGTCTTATCTATAGACATGTATACAGATCTGCAGTACTTATAAAACTCCCGAAGACAGTTATTCTTAAATTAACATGTTTAATTAATTGCTGTGATTATGATATTGTGCGCATTTATGTACATAACTTCACCATTTATAAAATTATTTCATATTTTGCGTACAAACATGTGGAAATGATTTCTGAAAGATTCTCTCGTCTTTCTATTCTCATAGGATGATGTGATGCTTCACTGGTTCACACCTACATTAGCTGGTTATAACATTAAACCTGGGTAAGTACTTTAGAATTCACGTCATGACAATGTTAAAGTGGTTGTAAGAAATACAGTCCTTTCTCTGTGTTTGGGGTTGGGGTTTAGGGATGTTGACCAAAGCTCGGGTTTTCAGTGTAAGAAGTTGTTTTAAGTGATGGATATCCGTTGATCTCCCAGTGATTTCTGGATAAAGTATTATGACGACTGTGTTGAAAAGGTTTAAAGGTGATGCCAATAGCTGTTAATTTGATTTTGTGCTGTAAGGAAACTCGTATCTAATATATATAGTTACAAATGATGCGTCGTCGTCGTCAATGTTTTGATATGGCTCTGTCTACAGACTTGGGTAGACGCCCAGTTGTTTGACATAGAAGATCAATTGTATGACCTTGGCTTGGTTGACAAACATGTTGTTTTGATTTGATCCTGGTTTCCACTCTAGTGGTGTTTGTAGCCATCACTGCCTGGCAGCACACATGGCTAATAGTGTGAATAATTAATAGGTTAACATGTTGATACTGGCAATATATCAGTGTATTTTACACATGTAATTCTACAGAGATTTGGAGCAAAGATTTCCTGATGCCATGTGATACACACATGCATTATTAAGTATTATGATGGTGTAGTGTTCTAAGTGATTGGTCTTGCATTATTAAGGTTATGTTATCTAAGTGTAGATATGTGTTGACTTTAATCTTGTCCAGATGATATATACAGTCTTTGTTAATTAAGCCGCTTGTTTACTTAATGCTTCCTTAACTGACAATCTGCAAAGTTGTCTATATTTAAATGTGTTGTGAATGTCTGTCGTAGTAGTTTGATTTACCATGGGTTATTGACCAACAGTGTTTAAAGTTTCTTCATGTTTTCACAGGTACATGTCTGTCCTAGTGGTCTAGTATTAAAGGTTATTCATGTTTTCACGGGGACATGTCTGTCCTAGTGGTCTGATTTGCCATGGGTTATTGACCAACAGCGTTTAAAGTTTCTTCATGTTTTCACAGGTACATGTCTGTCCTAGTGGTCTAGTGTTAAAGGGTATTCATGTTTTCACGGGGACATGTCTGTCCTAGTGGTCTGATTTACCATCGGTTATTGACCAACAGTGTTACAGGTTATTCATGTTGTCACGGGTACATGTCTGTCCTAGTGGTTTGATTTAGCATGGGTTTGTTATTGACCAACAGTGTTGAAGTTTATTCATGTTTTCACGGGTACATGTCTGTCCTAGTGATCTGATTTACCATGGGTTATTGACCAACAGTGTTAAAGGTTATTCAAGTTTTCAAGGGTACATGTCTGTCCTAGTCGTTTGATTTACCATGGGTTATTGACCAACAGTGTTTAACGTTCTTTATGTTTTCATGGGTACATGTCTGTCCTAGTGGTCTGATTTAGCATTGGTTATTGACCAACAGTGTTTAACGTTCTTCATGTTTTCATGGGTACATGTCTGTCCTAGTGGTTTGATTTACCATGGGTTATTGACCAACAGTGTTAAAGGTTATTCATGTTTTCACAGGTACATGTTTGACGTAGTGCTTTGACTATTTACATGTGTTATGCATGTCTTGTCGTAGTGGTTTGGTTTAGACTATTGGTTAAAAGTGTCCAATGTTGTTTATATTTACATTAGGCATGTCTGTTGTAGTGGTGATTTCAGCAGAGTTGGCAGTTAAGTGAGCTTGTTTTTAGCAAAAATATGAAATTGTTGATCAACAGTAGATTTTGAGCTGATTCATGATCATTTCCATTTTTGAAAATATGAAAATAAAAATCCCATAAATATAGGACTTACTCTGTCCAAATTTTTCACAAATTCTGTTTTGAGTTGTGTCACCAGGGAGGTTATTTCCATGTGTATCCGTCATGATGGCTGTCTACTGTTGTCTTAGTCTTCAGGGAAACTTTCAACCACTCGAATTGAAAACATTGTCATGTAAACATGTGAATTCTAAAGTACCTACAAGCTGTTGGAGAAGTTAAAAACTGTAACAAACAGCACAGAAATCTGCAGATTATTTTATTCTAATTATAGCTCGGCTACAGTTTGCTTTATGCCGACTCTGACCCAAGATGATGTTATATATGTGTGCTATTCCTTTGTCATTGTAGTGTTTGATTTGCACCAGCAAGTTGATGGTATGCAAGAACAGAACAGAGGAAAGAACTTGTAAGTGACAGTCATCGGCACATTACCTTTTAATCCCAGGTACAACTTGTAGGTGACAAACATCTGCACATTATCTTATCAGATAAATCTGATTAATTAAATTTTCGATACAATAGACTTAACATTTTCAAAAATGTTTCTCAGTTAAATTGTTCTCTGTAGAAAAATAAATAAATGCAAATACATTAATATGTACATGAATAAGTTCGGGGGAATCAAAGGCCTAATCACAATGGGATATCTAAAAGTTAATTGTGGAAAATGCCAGCTGCACTTCCAAGCTGTTGAAAATTTACTCATAAATATGTTTGAATTTAGAGAAAAAACTTTCATAACAAAGTATCTATAATAATTGATTTTTTGTTTACATGAACAAAAGATATTTAAATGCAATGTTTTGTGCTAATTTCAGAATTGGCACTACGAAAAAGGGTATTGGCCCAGCATATTCATCTAAGGTATGCAAAATCTGTGTTGGAGACTTTGATGTCACGTAATATTTTGAAGCCCATTAAGATTGTAGATGAAGTTTGATATAATAGTGTTTTTCCAGCTGTCGTGAATCCAGAATCAATCCAAAATAAAAGGATAACACATTATCATGTTTTCTCCTTTAACCTACTCACCAGAAAGTTCTTCAGTACAAGATCAATGTCATATGTAACGGTGCAATTTTAAATGACACCTCAAAATAAACAAGTAGGCTTCTAGGGCCACTACAGGTCTAGGGAGCTAACATTAATTTAGATATGACTCAGGTTGATGAAGAGAAACAAGATCGGAAAAGTTCACAGCTAATCCCTCATTGTAGATTGTAATGGAACTTGTCAGTATAGAAAACAACGTCAGGACAACAGGTGTGTTTAACATGTTACAACATGCTGTACATTAAAGGATGTGTGTGGGTTACGCGTGGGTACAAACTATATCACTGATAAAAGCAATTATATGTAGGCTAGGTAAAATGGTTTATCTTTTCATGATTTGTACAGAAACAAATGCCAAGATACAGGTATTGGTGTAATGTGATATTGGTAGGCAACTCATTTGGTTTTGGGTGTGCTAGATATAGATAAACTAAGAGTCATATTCTCTCTTTGTCAGGCAACGAGGAATGGTTTACGAATAGCTGATCTTCTTGGTGACTATTCCTATTTTTCAGAGCAGTAAGTATTGTTTTCAGTGTATTTGTTAATGTTGTGGTAGCTTCTCCGTCCATTCTCTTTATACCGCTCTGTTCTGATTTGCCCTAATTTTCTTCTCCTAAAAGATCAATCGTGTTCTTTTAGTTTCTGATCTTAAATATGTCGAAAATTGAAAGAAAGAAAAAAATGCAGAAATATTGTGATGTTGAAAGTTGAATTTCATGAAACTCATCCAAGTACATGTTTATGTTACAGAAAATTCAGTATTGCTTGTACTTTGGTCAGAAAAAGGTTAAGAAAGTCTTGCTTCTGTTGTATACTATTTCTTGCATATGATATTGTATATTGTTACTTACAGATAAATAGCTAAATGGACGAGTGGACATGTATGTGCCCTGCCTTAAAGCTGGTATCTGTACAAAGTTGTTATACACTGTGTTGTCCAAACAGTTTAGTATTGTTTTAAAATGTATTCAAGACAGAATTGTAAATGTTTTCTTTGTTTCTTTGTAAATAGCTTTCAGAGGCTGGTAGACTTCTATGTCCGGCAATACCCAGAACTTAAAGATGTTGTCAACGTAGAAAAAGAATTGGAGCGCTATAAAGTATGTAGAATCATGGTGGTGTCAATGTAGTATTACACACTTGTTCATTTGATAGTTTATTAGATAATCGTCAGCTTTATACAATTTCAAGTTCCACTTGTTATTTAGGTTGCCTGTGTAATAAACAGTATTGCCTAACATACAGGTATCTTTGCCATAATGACAGAGGACAAATCAAGAAGAGAAAGCTTTTAAAAAAAAAGTGATAAATATAAATGCTAAAATTTGTGTCAAATAAACTTTCCCCATGTTTGACCAGATTTTCTCAAATTTATAATAAGTATATGACAAAAAAAATATACAAATGTCCTTTGTGTACAAGGTGCTGAGGCAAGAGGTTCGCCCGATGGTACGTGACACTATCCCGTATCTTCACAAGGCCATTACTGACTGCAAGACCATCCTTATAGAAGGGGCTCAGTCAAGCATCCTGGACATTGACTTTGGTAACCTGCTTTAAATCTTGCAGAGAAAACAATTTCTTGGCAAACTTTTCTGCACACAGTTGTGCTGCTAATATTCAGTGCCACATTATCAGCAAAAAATGTGAATGTAGATACATATCTTAAGTGTTTGTTAAATTTTGATTTAGACTTCAGTGTGTGGTATAGATTCTAAAGCAGTTTTCACTTTGAGAAACTGGTTTAAAATTAGATTTTCGCTTTGAAGAAGAAACATAAATGAATGGGAGGAAGGGTAGAAAATGAAGATTTTGTTTAAACTCAATTTCTCTTTTACAAATTCATGCCATTTGTCTCTAATTAGGAGCAATTAAAATATCTTTGACTTATGGGATTTTTTTTTATCATAAACAGCTAAAGCTTTCCCAATGACAATTATATTGCATATTGACAAATATTATTATGTATTGTAGGTCTATACCCATATGTGACGTCATCAAACTGCAGCGTTGGAGGTATATGTACAGGACTCGGAATCCCACCTCACGTTCTAGGTGATATCTATGGTGTTGTTAAGGCGTACCTCACAAGGGTTGGCAGCGGGGGATTCCCAACAGAACTCACAGATGTACGTTACAGCATTAAAACTACTTTAATTGTATATTAAACGGGAAAATAGAGCAAACACTTGTTCAAAGTAGGTGTGTTGTTCAATGGGGTGCTACGTATTCCGGTGTTTTAATTGTATGTGTACCTGCCCTGTCTTTCTGGTAAAATTTCTGCTCAAGTCTTGTGTGGAGTATATTACGTTCTTGGGTGGGTGCTACAGCTGCAACATTACTGGGAGGTAAAACTATCATTTAAAAAAGTTGTTTACCAGTAGTTAGTGCCTGGTAAGTCTGTTCCTGGGAAATTGTCACATTGTATTGATAGTATTATGAATTGTATATCTTTGTATTGTACAGTGCTTTAAAAATGGTTTATTCTAGCTAGATAGGCTGCCGCTTACCTTGGTTTTGACCTGTTACAGGAAAAAGGTCAAAATAAAGTTCTGGTCGAACGGGGTCATGAGTACGGAGTTACCACTGGTCGCAGGCGACGGGTAGGCTGGCTGGATATGGTCATGTTGAGGTACTCCAACATGATCAATGGTTTTACTGCGTAAGTATCATTATCAAGGCTGTAAAATGATTATTGGTTTTACTGCGAAAATACCTTAAAACCGGATGTGATGTGATCAGTTGTTTTACTGCATAAGGTACATACTCAAGGCAGTGTTTATGTTATATGAATACTCACTTTAGGTGTACAATGGTGTAGACACATGACTGGAAGTATTCAGAAAGTTACCAGCAATAAAAACTTTATTAAATAGGATGTGTCTAGTCTTTGACTTTTTGACAGTATTGCTGTTTCTCTTGTCATTACAGTGTTGCTGTAACCAAGCTGGATATACTGGATACATTCAAGGAGGTGAAGATTGGCGTCAAGTACGTCCTTGATGGTCAGGAGATTGACAGCTTCCCAGGTAACTCCTCAATAGCTACCAGAAACAGAACTCTCCGTCACAATTTATTCTCTGTATTCTTCTTTCTTTTACACAGCTTTCTTGTTAGTAATAAAGAATGTTCTTCCTCTTTAGTATACATCAGTGTTCCTGCTTTAAAGAATCAATAAGTTCATTTTGATTATCTTTAGTAGTAATGGCCTGGACTGTGAACTTTTGTTCCTCCAGCCTTCTAATGACCTCAGTATTGTCTTGCTGTATGAAACTAGTGATTGTCTGTGTTGTGTGTGTACAGCTCTGGACGCGGACCTGAAGCGAGTTGAGGTGGAATACGAGACGATGCCCGGCTGGGAGGAGGATACCTCTACAGCAAGGAAATTTTCAGAACTACCAAAAAATGCACAAAATTATATCAGGAAAGTGGAGAAGTTGATGGAAATACCAGGTAACTGGAGATTTTACACTTATAAATCATTCTTACAAACTTTATTCACACCTCGCATTAAAGTATCCCAACATGTATATTGGAGTTTTACTTATAATCTAATAAACAATTCATGGAAACCTGTGATGATAAAAATTTACTTCAATGTTCCATACATGTCAGAATTCTTGGAGACCACTTTGTGCTTTTTACAATCATTTAAGGGAATAGAGGCTCAAATAAGGGAGGTTGTATTTGCGGCTTTTTTCAAGACAAAAAAAACTTATCCTTTTCAATTAAATCAATGGAATACAGTACAAAATCCTTAAGTAAGTAACTTTGTTTTGATTTTGGCATTTTTTTTTTTTATATTGAATATGGTTATATATATATTTAGTAGCACAAAGTTTACAAAACTAAATATTATCGCATATAATTAATTGAGATGAACTGCAAACGCAGATTTTACTTAAAATTTCGCAATTCAGTTGGACAGGTCAATATTCACGCAGGCACAGTAGTGAGTACTACTGATGTTTAAGTTAGGAGACATTAACTTTCAACTGTGGATTTTGATAAGTTTATAAGGATTAAAGTTGTCTTTGTTCATTTTCATTTGAACTTCTGAGCATTGTTATATAATCTGGAAACATGCATTTAGCAAGAGGCTGAAATAATCAGCTGTGAAAGAAAAGCAAACTGTGTTCTGCATTTGAACTTTTAAATTCAAAATTTCAGCATTCAGACCACTGCTATTTTCAATCTCATTTGACAAGCCCCTGACCGGCCGTTCTCTGACCTTATATCAGTATAATTGAAAAGTAACACGTAGCTGGACATCATATTTTTCAAAGTGTCTAGCAATGAACTAACGTTACAAACATGACAGAAAACATTTAGTGTGCTAATTAAATCGACTGACTTCACGGTAAAATTTGGGTGGTGGAGCCGACACCGTCACGCAGTGGCTAAGACTAAAGTGTCGGGCAGTCTGCTAGTATCACGGAACTGAATGGCAACAATAAGGATCAAATTAAATATATAATACAGATTTATTTCTATCGTTCAAATAGATTACTTTTTGTAAAAGACACCGAAATAAACTCACAATTTTACCGACACCAGTAACATATTCCGGAAGTTATCGGAAGAGCTCTTGCATACAAATCGATCATATGGCCATCACATGACCGCTACTCAAGAGCTCTCGTGATTTATCGCTGATAACATTGTTGAATCTCCTAAAACTTCGAGTAAACAACAACAGGAAAATGGTTCGCCGATCAGATATTAAAAAACATGAGGCTATGAGGACATTCTGTAAATTCATGTCCGACGCCGTAAGACTTTAGCAGAGGTGAAAATCTGAGATTTCGCCTGGCGCCATGAGATCTGGCATGTAATATATTCCAGATTTTATTGTGACAATTAATCAAATGTAATTTTATGTTTTTGCAGTGAAATGGATTGGAGTTGGACAATCCCGAGACTCTATTATAGAAGTGAGCAGCTGCTGACCTTGTCCCCTCATTAGATGTCTGGGTGATGTCTCCTGATCAGGGGATCATTAGATGTCTGGGTGATGACTCGCGATCAGGGGATCATTGGACGTCTTGGTGATGTCTCCTGATCAGGGGATCATTGGACGTCTGGGTGATGTCTCCTGATCAGGGAATCATTGGACGTCTGGGTGATGTCTCCTGATCAGGGAATCATTGGACGTCTGGGTGATGTCTCCTGATCAGGGACTCATTGGACGTCTGGGTGATGTCTCCTGATCAGGGAATCATTGGACGTCTGGTGATGTCTCCTGATCAGGGAATCATTAGACGTCTTGGTGAGAACATGTGTAAAAGGAATACAGGGAATTTTTTAGAGGTGTTGGTCATCATCGTATATTTTTTAGTATGGTGTACTTGATATTTTTAGTCAAGAGAATTGAATTTCAAGGTATCAACCAATTGTTTCTCTTTCTTTTTGCGTAATGTGTGATATTTAAGAAAAAGCATAAACAAATTTTTCTATAAGTATGCCAAATCTTTGTTTATTTACCAAATTTTGACATGATCGACAAGATTATCATACAGTTTCCTTATTTTGTAGAGATATATTTTTAAAACTGTGTAAACAAAATCCTTGAGTCTCGATGATTTTTAACAGCATCACCACATTTTGATGCATGATGAGCTTTCGCTGTTGATCTTGGTTATGTGAAAAAATGGTTCGGAAGAAAGCTTTATTCAAAATTTGAGTATATTTGAATGATTTGTGGAACACCAGTTTTAACCCATACTTCAATGTATCATTGATTTAATTTTTACTTAGACTATTTAGACTTTGCTCATGGCAAGGGATCTGATATAAGACAAATATTTATACACTTGTACAGTATCATTTTAAGTTTCAAGAATGCCTATAATTTGTTTTAACAGTCTTACCTTCGGTTCAGATCTCGTCCTCCATAACTTTTATAGAGGAGGTAGTCAAAGCTGTGTTGTGCGTCGCGTCTGAGGAGTAGTACTAGACTATTAAGGATCCCCATACCACTGCTAAATCTAACTATACATTGGAAAGTGTTTTTTCCAGCATGAGTATAGCTTGATAAATCATTCTTGGAGAGAGAAAAAATGTACTGTGTAGGGGTTTTATATAAAAAATCAACAAGTGTTCCATGGGTAAAAATTCAGCCAAACTAGACCACAATTTGAACCCTAGACTCCATTCTTGTAAATTCCATCGCTCTAACCGACTGAGCTATCTAGTCGATGGAAGTGTGTAGGCTTACTGTGCTGCACATACATATCCAAAATGAAATTAAGGGGGAGATCACTGTGTCTACAAAAAACTAGCACAGTGGGACAGGGATCCTTAAAATGATTTTGGTTCAAATACAGTTGAAATATTACTTTATGAAGGTTATACTTTTTTGGGGCATTTATTTTAATAGACTTCTCAAGGAAATGAATTTCTTATCGTCTGAATGAAAATAGATATGTGTTACAGTAGCAAAAAAATAATATGCTTAAAATGAAGATCTGAAAAGTAGGAATCGTGATTAACTGTTTCTGTTATAGTGAATCTGATTCATCATCAGGTACTACCAGAAGTAATCCATGCTTATTCTTTATGTATTTGAGTTTTGATATTTTGTTTATTCTTTGTGAGTTAAATTTGTCCTCATGTTTTCATTGTCAATACACCCATTGTTGGAAAGTGTTTATATATATATTTTTTTGAAAATTCCCTTGCAAACTTTACATCCGTGTTGGACTTGGTGTTAAACTTGGAAATTTTTAAGTGATCTGCTGAAAGTTTGTTCAAACCTAGCAAATGCATACTCCCTAAATTAATTGGAAATAACTTGACAACCGTGTCATTTATTTTGTTATCTGTTATTAAAATTGTTTTCCTGACATTTAGGAGTTTATATAATAGGCTATGATTGCTTGATTACCTCCCTTTATCTACTAGACGATGGTAGCTTTAGTACTGATGATGCAAAATGTTGGGGTTTACAACTAAAATAGCCATGTCAGATATGGAATGATGTGTCAAGCCCCAATGTATGTGTCGTCGATTATAATCATTTGTGTCAGTCTGGTGTATCTATCTGCAATTTATGTTCAGGTCTTTTGTTTGCAGTGCACATAACTGTTTTAAATACAGTTCATGATTGCATGGATACATATATATATTATTTTAATTACTGCACCTTTTACAGGCAAGTCAGTGAGGGCTATTTCAGATATTAATGTATTTAAAGGGTTGACATGGTGACGCTTTTAACGGTGTATGGGTAGTGCAGTCTGAAGTATTTGTTAAAACATTTGCATTGTAAGCCTAGAGAAAGAAAAAGACATCTATTGGTGGGGATAACAAAAAATGCCTTCCTGCCTTCTATATTCAGCTCTGGAATAGCTCTTAAATGGTCTGCATATTGTATCATATAGAAACACAAAGATTAAGTTTTCATCTAATAAGTAAAAAATGAAAAATAGAAATGCTCTAGCTTATATTGCTTTTTATTACGAAGTATTTTCACAAGATTTTATTGATATTCACATGTAAAGTAAATAACAAACCTGGTGGGACCTTGGAAACGAATTCAGTATACCAGGTAGATATGATTTGTTTTAATACAATAGTTTGAACCTAATGTAAAATTATTGCCAGGGTACAAAAAGGCGATTTCATTAAAACAATTTGCATTTAGCATGTTTGTGTACCGAGTGTTTTGTACTAAGGAACCAGCACGAATGTCGAACAGACTGATGAATGAACGGTCTGAAAGCAGTAGAATTTTTTACTGCTCATACTAACCATAGACTAGAAAAAAAAATCTATTCTGGTTGTTCAATTGTTTTATGGTATGACACCTTGGTTTGGAAAAACTTGCAAAAAAAAATAAAACAATAGTTTGGTCTGTTTAATGTTATTAGTTGAAATGATGGCATCCTAATGTGTTAATATAAGTACCGTTCGTCAATATATGAAGTAGAAATAGATTGATTCAATCTTGGTCAGTGGAGTATTGTATGACAATACAATAAACATAGTTATAAAGCAACATGTGAAGATCATTGAAATCCTACTTTTGTTTTGAGCTCCTGGCCCCAGTGTCACTGAACGTCATAACTTTGTAGAAACTTATTTACTTTACTAAAAAAAAAAAATATCGCATTAACAATCAAATTTATCCTCTGGTTCAAGTCAAAGTTTATTTTAAAACATAAACATTTTTCTATTTAACATGAGATAACATTACCTATAGATTAATCTTGAGAATTGAGAACGTTCTTAAAATTGTGGGAGTTTTGTGGTTCTGGGGTCTGGTTATTTAAACTTTTTAATAATCTTGTTTTAGATGTTTTGTTATTGGTGGCATTTGTGTGAAGAAATATCAACAGCGGTGACAAACAGTTTTGTTGGAATGTGATATACCTGTAAATCAAACCTGTAATGTTCCTTTATTTTGTACATAGATTGTATGGAAGTCGGTACGTGTACAGCTATACCAAACAAGGGCTTTTCCTGATGTGAATATTGGGGAGGCACTTGCAATGAATTTGTTGCCGATAGGTCTAAAATATAAATTTGGTCCCAGAAAATAGCAGTTTTCTCTACCCACCACATATTTAATTTGTGAAATAGCCCTCAACAAGAAGACGCATTCAGGTATATACGTGCAACACTTTATATCAGTTACACCATGTTCTTTATCTTGTCAGCTGTTGTACCAAGATATAAAATGAATTAAATCATCTGTAATTCTACAGCAGTGTGTTAGTTGTTTGTCTGCAACAGCGTTTGCTATCATTGAAGAACATACTTGTCAAATATCCTGGTACATCATGTATTATGGAAAGTTCTGGAAGGAAACTTTATGCCAACGAGGGATAAATACAAACATCCTTTTTAACACGAAGTTGTCGAAACCTCCAATCGTTTTCCATGTTATATGGACATGGAAATAAGTCTATCCTTGTTCCACGATTGTGTTTGCCTTTTCATGTTGAGGAAGCACATACATAGTTTTGCAGGGGCCAGGAGGACCCTTAAGCCAATCATAGAAATGTAATGGAAGAGGAAAATGCACAGCTAGACCGGGACCTCCCAAACACTCGACCAATTGAGCTACCTGGTTGCCGACGGATTGTCTAGTTTCACTACAGAAATATGCACAGCAATTATATATATGGTGAGGGTCCCATTCATTTGAAGGCAGGTCAAGGTAATTTATGCAAGGATACTTGATCCTAGGTACCTACTGGTAAAATACAACACTGGGCCTTCTTGGCTTGAGATGATCAGAATTTTCTACATTGTATCCCATGTTGATTGTTGTCATCACTAAAAGTCCATGTTTAATCAACAAGGAAAAGAAATGCAATATTGGTGTACATGACTAGACTGAAGGACTTTTAATCAAATGTTTTGACATATTTGACTTCATCTTATTTGAGTTTCGACACTCCACCGAGCAAAGATGTACGTTATGAAATTAGTTAGCCTACATGGTAAAGTTGTGCAACAAAAGCAGTAATCGCGCATATTCTCATCAAAATGTCAAATGCACGGCCAGACTGGGGTTCGAACCTGGATCTCTCTGAACTCTCGAACAGACCAATTAAGCTACCTAGTCGCCGAGGATCACCCCAGTCCAGTTCTGCTACATTTCTCCCTCCTTTTTTCGAAGACAACTATTTACAAGCCTGGTTTGGGTATCCCAAACATACACCGAATGATTGAAGCAAGGGTTGGTCACAGGCACCATTAACAGGAGAGGAAAAATGCATGGCCAGACCGGTTCGAACCTTGGACCCCCCAAACTCTTGGACAGATGCTCTACCAATTGAGCTTACTGGTCACAGACGATCGGTTTACTTTATTAAAAAGATCTGTATAATCCCAAATATCTTCTTTACCGAATATGCTCTATGCAATGAAATGACTACTGGATTGCCAAGTAACAATGACAAACTTTAATACAAGAATATAATTTTATTGATCAATAAATTATTACAGAAGACAGCACTAGAACCCTTCAGGTGTTAAGCTGTTCAAACTCCCTATTAAATCAACAATGCTTGATTCAGCTCTAACTACATACAGGGCCAAATTCAAAAACAAGCAAAGTATATTTTTCCTCTGACAAGGGAGCTCTAAACAAGCAAAGTATATTTTTCCTCTGACAAGGGATCCAGCCCCTAGTTTTGTCAAAGGCAAGTCCAATAAAGACACTAGATACTGCCATTCTCTCATTCATAGTAGATAACAATATGGTACATATTCTGGTTGTAATTCTGATATAAACATAACAAGTACAGCCATACTCTCTCATTAACAGTAGATCACAATGTTGCATGAACATGTTCTAGTTAAAAAAAAGTTTCTTAATGGCAAGATACAAATACATATTTACAAAAGACCAAGAGGAGCGTGTACAGTATATAGTCACACCAGATACTTTCTTCAATGCATGTTCATATTTCTATACATCACTTTATTTTGCCGGAGATATACAATACTCTCTAAACCTTGAAATGGCTATCAACTGATCTCAACAGCTCTTTACAGACCTCCGTAGACGCCCGGAAGTTCTTCATACCGTTGGTACAGACCTCAATCGATCTGAACAGTTCCTGAAGGACCTGGTGGACCTAAACAGATGTTGACCGAGCGGGCACAGAAATCAATGACTAGGTGACCGTACTTGATAAACCAGGAACAGATCCTGAAGACCTGGACAGTTCTTTTAAACCTCTATAGAGTTGGTGTATATGATGGAATGGGGAGATCTAAATGACTTGGTCTGGGAGTTTAGTGCTGCTCATCCTTGTACGATATGTTCCAAGATTCCCTGGCGGATCAAGTGTTCGCATTCCGATCTCAGAAGGAAATGCTGAAATATATAACCAATATTCTTGTGAATAACTCTTTCAAATGAACAGCAAACATTAAAAAGATTGAGGAATCAGATAAATTATGCATTGCAGGAATGATATCAAACTATATAACTTTTGATATTCCTTACTCAGTGTTAACATTTGATATGCTGTATAAGGGCCAATTTCAGATATTCTGTTCAAAGTGTTAACTTCAAATATTCTATACATGTATAGAAAGGATCAGCTTTGAATACTCGGTTCAAATGGTTTTTGTTTGATATTTCGTATTCAGGGCTAATTCCAACATTCTATTTCCATGTACAGCATTATTTTCAGTGAGGTGAACCCAAGAATACATGAGAAAGCAAACATTTCTAGTCCGGTAATCCTACATACCCTACAACTTCCAAGTGCCAATTATTTCATGTATATTAAATGAAAAACACACACACACCTCATTTTACTATTGTCTTGATTGTAATATTACCTGACTGTTTTTCTTTAGCACCAGTATGTTCCCATCTTGTGTTTCAAACTCACCATGGTCCATTAGGCATCGCACCTATAGAGAAAACACAATGATAATATTGATGACTAGAGAGATCCCAGTCAATAAATTTCATTGGAGTACTGGGACATTATACTGACAACATCATACATATCACAACACTTTTCTTAATTTTCAATGTGTCAATATTTTTTATGTATAATGATACATTTCCCAATATGATTTAAATCATCCGTTACATGGCTCAGCCTGAACATTGTTCAGGCGTAGTATGAAGTTAACGAAACCATGTAACATATGATTTTAATCAGATTGATACATTTCCTGGTTTGGTTTATAATTCAAGCATTTAAGTTTTGTTACTACCCTTGGTCAAGTTCTACTTCACTGTTCTCATGATTCAAGTCTGTGAAGATCTAACTCAATATTTGATTCGTGATGATAAAGTCCATTTTATACATGTAAATGTTATTACACTGTAGCAACTTCGTCGTAATTATTTTCATTAAAATGACTTTAACCATGTGTATATGCAGTGTGTATCACTACATTATTTATCATTGAAGAACATTTATCTTGATATACATGTCTCATCATATTGTCCCAGCCCTAATTTAAACATGTCACCAAACAGGAAAAATTCAAACCTTTCGCAGACCAGGACAAATTCAATCGTCCCCGAGAACAAATGGTTAAACACCTGTTATGGATTAGTCATATTACGATAATTGCCTACCCTAGCACCGATACACCAGGAAACTTAATACCCCCAACCCTCTAATTGCCAGCAACTGTGATAATCATTGGTAAACAGAGTCTATCATGCAATTCTTGCAATTAACATATGGCTCTTAGTCCTAAAGTTGGTCATGTCAGAAAAGTGTTAAAAGGACAGGTGAAAAATTAAATCAGGTTTGGTTTAAAATGTAATTTACCTGGCGAGTGAGCGACAGTGAGCTTGACCTTTGAACTTTGAATCCCAAAATCAATGGGGTTCTTGGTTTTTTTTGTGGGTAATGCCTCTCAAAAAAGGTATGTAAAATGTTACATTGAGGATTCCTGTTCCACTGCACAGCGCTTTTTCCTAGATACAAAAACATCCCCTTAACTCCAGTTTAGATATAACTGCATGTAGCAGTTGGGCCAGGAGACTTCTGTTTACCAGGCAGCTAAACCAGGTCCAGCGATAGTACATGCATAACAATCTGAAGTTCAAGATTTGCATCCCTGTCCAGCACCACTGATGTTTTTACACATAGAACACTGTTGCTGATTATGTTTTATTAATTTCATCTTTATTATTTTTCATAAAAGTCCCACAAGGTATGGTTTTCTTTTCAGAAATGATTGATCAAGGCTATAATCACGAGGGAAACAGTTTCCAATACTTAGTTACAGTTTTTGGCAGTGGTACAAGGTTCCTAAAGGTCCTGGAGTGATTTTCACTGTACAGAGAGCCTGTATATTAGACCTTTGACTTTGAAACTAAAGAATGTAACAAATTATAAGATGTTTGACATAAATAAATGTGTTGATCGTCGTTTGTCTTTGAGTTCCATGTACCAAGGGAGATTATCTCGTGTCTGGTCTGCGGTCTACCAGAACCGTCAATCTTTTCATGAAAAAAAATTGAAATTGCTTACACTTATGTATTCTGCGCACCCCCCACTTTGGACATTACATTTCTCAAAAAGAAATCCGCAAATTACACAAGTTTTTACGGTAGTAATTACCCAGGATCAGTGTGCCCAAATGTTTAAACCACTGGCTTTTTGTGACCGTCTCTAGGAAGTGTAGTTGCATATTTACCTCTATATACAATGTCTTGGGTGGTTTGAGGTCCTGTGTCAGATCTAGACCTCCTTCACCGCCTATTGACCTCATATAACTCGCCAGCATCTTATTGTACTTCCCAAACCACTGGACCTAGAAGTAATATACATTATCCAGTATATAACAAGCATAGTTATAATTCCTGACATTTCTGATGTTAGTTTGCAGTAATGGATATTCGTATATCCCTACAACAATACAAATTTCACTGAATGATGAAGACTGCCTATAAGTACTTACTTCCTGTTCGCACATATTGAATTTTATGTCTGCAGGTAAGACACTACCAAACTCCCATCGCATCTTCTTTATATGCTCTATCCTGTTGTATCTGAAAATAAAGTCTTATCAAATGTTACACAAATTGGATATTTTCTGTTTTGTAGTAAACAAAGTTGACAAATGAAATCTAAATATCCCACATGGAAGCATTATAATAAGTACATTTCACAAGATTTCACAATACATAATCTTACAATTTAAATTTTTACAAGTTCACACATGCTGTTATCAATAAAGGATAACAAATTTTACCATAACATGTCATATACACAATAATTCATGCATTTATTTCTTACAAGTATGCCAGAAGACACCGCTTATTCCTTTCCAGGGCAGAGTGTCGAAGCTGGACACCTGAAAATAATCCACTCTCCCCCGCCACAGTGGCACTCCTGTGTGAGACAACAAGTACAGTACAGTGTTAAACAGTTTCCATCCAGACACCTGATTGATCTGACTGGCATCATGTGACACTTGTATTACAAGATAGTGACATCCCTAGTATGATTTGGCCAGGCATGTGCTGCCATAATCAAAAGTAGAAAGCAATTTTATTGACATTGGACCTCTTTGTCCATTAATGTACATCTCCTTTTCTGATCAGTAATTATAAAATATTGTCTACATTTCAACAAAAGACAAGAAACGTCTATACATATGTCGTAAAAAAACCCATTTTGAGTACAAGCTCTGTATGAAAGTTTTTGAAAAATATTCTACTACTAGCCAAATATGTTTTTGTAAAAAGGTTCAGTAGTCCTATTACACAACATCTTCTAGCACAGACAGGTCAAGGTATCTGTAGNGGGGGGGGGGGAGATTCTTTTTAAGTTACCAAACACAAGGCTTGTAGAGTGTTTGACAACAAAAGAATCTTTTCCCCCGGGGTTGAGATTCCCCATTTAAATGAAAGGGAGTGAATAATTTTTTCACTTACCGCATTGACCTACACATAAATGCAATGTTGATGTGACATCAGTGTACTGTTGATGTGACATCATACAATTATGAATGAGGGAATCCCACCCCCCATCTCAACCTAAGATAACACCAGGAAAAGTTTGAATACACCTGTCCAGGATAAGGGAATGTTTCAGTGAATTCACATTTCATAACAAATGTCATATTATTCCCAGATTGTTGGCATAAAAACATTTTTTTCAGATTTTAAAGAATGATTATAGTACAAGTTATGAAGGAATAAAAGTTAATCATTCCGTATAGGCGTGGGCTTTACCTAGAATTTCCACATCTCCCACGTATTAATATGCTCGACTCAAGATAAATTAAATATCTTGGATTATATCACCTACAATACCAGTTCAATGTGAATGAGGGTTCAATCTTTTACATTTTAGGAATTGAAATAAAAAACATTTATGCGTAGATTAAAATGATAACATTTCAAACGGATAGCTTTTAAAGGTAAATTTAACTTACACATCTTTTTGGTTTTGATCAAATAAAGCCTTCATTTCCTCCAGGACTTGACGTGCTTTGTCCTCCTGGATAAAGCCAGAAAATGAAGAAAGTACATTTCAGATAAAATAACACCAACCAAATGGTTGTCATACCTTAATTACTTCAAAGAAATTTTACAGGGTTATAATATATAGTACCTCAAGCTATGTTAAAATACTCTAATCTAAATACTCAACATTACATGAACTCATTTCACTCAATAAATTGACATTTATTTCATTTCCAACAGGTAAATCCAAGTAGTATACAAGGTGAAAAATGCCTTACCAGGCACTTTACTTGGAAATTAAATTTGATTACATTGCTAACGAGTTACAAGTTTACTGAACAGAGTTTTTGCATATGGTTTTAACCGTATTTTTATCGAATCCGAAGACAGTGGCAGAGGACTACCAAAACATTATACCCTAAAAAGTGATCAACAAATGTTTATAGAAAAGAAAAAAAATCAAATCAGAACAGTGACAATATGGAATGATCTATGAGTAAACGTGTCTCAGGTCCTAACGTTGTTTTTCTTTAGAATTCTAAACCCATGCACATGAAAGAGTCTTATATTATTACTATCAATTAGCACAAACATTAATGTATATCGGAGAGAAGTATTATTTTGATTTATTTATTCTTTTGGATAGTCTACTAAAGAGGACTAACAGTCCTGAACCAAAAATAAATTTATCTTATGTCTTTTTGTGTTTCCATATGTGACAGTTTTTCTAATTTAAATTTAAAAGAAAATAAAAAATTATATGATAAATTAAATTCTTATTGAAGAATTAAGCTTAATTGAACTCTAAAAAATATTCCCTAGATGACACCATTTCTTTCTTTGTTTGAAAGTGTGAATTGGGGAGGGGGATGTATGGGCCTTTGTAGAGAGGAATAGTCATATCACTCCTGCATGCCTTAGGCATAATTCCTGGATAGATCTGAGAGGCTCAACATAAACAAAATGTGCGCTTTTTTCAATTTCTTTAAGAAAAGTAAAATAAGCTACCTTTTGAGGCTTTTCTAAGAGCTGAAATATGCTGAAAATGTATTAAATTGGTAATATCACGGAATTAGATAACAGATAATCTAATTCCGTGGTAATATATATGTAGGGGTTAGGATCCGGATGAAAAAAATCCAGCGGGCTGTAGTCCACACACCTCTCAAGACTTGTAACAGTTGTATCAATAGCGATTGTTATACCAATCAAAACAAGGTTATCAATGTATTGCATGATTATTGATTAAAGCATACGTTATGTGGGAGCGACCTAGTACTAATATGCAATTTCAACAACAGGCTGTGTAGCTTCGAATAAAAACAATGTCAAGTCAAACCGTAACCCAGTCTCAAAATATATGTCACTGTTTACCATACAGTAGTTCCTTACATTATATGGCGACAGGGAACCGTCAACGGAGCGTTGAAGCTCACGAATAAGTTCAAGAGCTTTTTCAGCAAGCATTGTTGTAAATTATTTTGTTGTGAGCGACTTCAGTCAACAAATCTCCCGCCATATACAGCTGTTTAATTTTTATATTAGAGTTATTTCCCCTTGACCAATGAACTCGTGTATGTTTTATTTATAGGTATTATACGTTTCGATATGATGTAATAACGCCAAAACGTGGTAATATTTTATTTTTAGATCTTCTCAATCATGAATAACAATACAGAAAATATGTTTAATTTCCAAAAATAATTTAGAAACTAGACTACTATTTGTGTTGTGTCATATAATGCCTATTTTGATGATAAAATTTCACATGACTTCTTTTCAAAAGTGATGTCATGTATGCCATTATGATAGATATATTTAAACGTATACAGTCATTATTAAATGCAACATATGCATTATTTCATTTTTTTATTGCCAAATATATATAAACCGATTTGGACACAAATTAATCAAACATTAATAATCCCCCTAATACTAACACATTAACAAACGTTTGTGCAGCTCAGAATCTTAGATTTTTAACGACTCTATTGCATACAGCAGGAACCAATAAATAATAATAATAATAATATACAACATTTGATATAGGCTAGCTAACATAAGCCACTCTAAAGCGCTTTACAGTACATAGATATACAATTTTATACAGTCAATACAATTAGCATATATATTAATCAATACAATATTGAGGAATTCGCAGGAGCTGCCTTATCAGGCGCTGACTACTAGTCCTATGCCACCTGGCTAATATCTCCCTATGTGTGTATGCCTGCGTGTGTGCTGGAGATGTATTGTGTTCTGTTTGTAGTGGGACCATGTTTCCAACGGTATCATTAATTGTGCCACCTCACTTGAATGCTACAGCACAGATACCGCAACACCCACCTCAGACCATTTTATACTCCAAATGGGTTGTTGGAGTTGTGTGGGCAGGAGAAAAACAATTTTTCTAATATTCCATGCGTACGGCGACTTCGGGGATCGAACCCCGGCCGCCTGCTTGGAAGGCCGGAGTGTTAACCACTCGACCAATCCGCCTACGAACTACAGGTCTTCGTCTGCATTAACATTGACGATGAACTGAAATCCTTTATATGTATTTCAATTTATTATAAATTACTGCTAATATATGTAAATTACATCTTTAACGTCATGCCATTCCACATAAAATAATTCCCCTCTTTCATAATCAGACATCAGCGAAATGTATCTAACAAATATTACTGAGCTCACGGAATTAGATTCAAAGTCTGTGCTGAGCTGTAACATTATATACACAAGCAACAGATTTGCACAAAAAATCCCTAACCATGTTATTATATAATCCAACTTTTATTATATTATAGAACTGAGAGTATATTTAAAAATTCCTAGTCAATGGGACACTGACCTTATTACTCATACTCATATTTTTAAAACTCGGTACTTTTGACGTTTACCATTACTCCGTATCTATATACAGTTCATATATATTATCAGGGCTATATTTGCTTACTTTGTCATCGTATCATTAACGATAGTTAGCTTTGATCTAATTACAATCTATATCTATTACATATTCATAAATGGCGCACAATAAAATTACCATGGTACTTTCTAATTTTGTATATGATCATAACCTATTTTCTGTTTCAAATCATTATGATCTAAAATTCTGATATTAACCAAAGTTGTACCAAGTTCTTTATTACTTAAGTCGGTTGACTTATTAGTTATAACATATATATACAAAACAATACAAAGACAACATACAATATGATATACACACACACACACACACACACCGTGGAGAGTGAACACTAACCAAGATACGACTGACGTGCTGACTTTCAAATGGACATTTCAGAGAATATAAAACATTCATTTCAAAGGTGACCTGTCAAAACGATGGGTCTATAAATCATAATGGCATGTTTTCATCAAACATTTTTATGTTTTTTGTTTAAATGTCATAACTGAAATGCGCTTATGTCGCATATTATTGGAAAGTGGCCTCATTTATATAATTATATAAGTTATGGCACGGACTTAGATAACAATCTAATTCCGTGGTTATTGTAAGGACAGCAAACTCCTATAATACGCTGGAATTCTATTTTCTTTCGAACATATATATAAACGTCTATTAGAATATTTTCCTAAATTTGATGTTGATTATGTATTTATGGAACATGACACTTTATTTTTAGTCCTACGTCATATCTATATATAACCTGGGTCTAAGACGAACGATGATACTGATGATGACGCCAAACTATTTCTATCTGGAACTGCCAGATTGTTATACGACGTGTCTGGTACTGCGTCCTTACCTGGCGTACTAAACCACCTCATCTCGTGATCAGCTGGACACGATCCATACACGTGTTTCTTACGAGTCTACATCACGAGACAACAAGCATATCATTGAACCTTTTTTTTTAAATCGTCTATCGACAGAAATATAACGGTTCCATATTATTTCATTTATTTTGACAATTCGACCAATTTTATGTGGTCCATTTTGGGTCCTTAATGCGTTAAAATACTCGATTTTGTCAAAATTTTAATACAGTGAAACTGGTATGACGAACAATAATAGGTTTCAGGTTCCGAGTTTTTGTTAGGCATGAAAACTATTGAAGGGCAATGACCAGCAATGGCAATGACAATTGTTTTATCCTCATAAACAAAACAGTGTAGAAACAGTGACTACTCCATAGCCGTGTGTTATTTCACGGTTGATCTCTTACAAACATGAATATCATATACTTTATTCCTTCAATAACTCCAAAGAAGGACAAGGTGGAAGTGTGTAGGGGGGCTATCCTAACATTTGTTAGTCAAAATTCATTAAACTATCAGTAAATTTCGGCTGCTCATTTTCCCCCTTTTTTTTCTATTATTTATATATACATCAAAAGTTTAAAACATGTAGGGGTGGGCAGAGGAACCCGAGCATTTGTTACCGCAATATTCATATATATCATCATTGGGCGTGGCATCTTTACCGAAAGTTTATCTAAACCTCTTAAACGTGTAAAATTACTATGAACACCTAAGTTTAGGTCCTAATTTAGCGGTAACAAATTATCAGGTCCCTGTGGGAGTGGGGGCTCAGACACAAGACCCTGTGCCCCTAGCTCCTCCCTATGCTTACTGCTGACACTACAGCCGTTAAGTAAAACTCTAATCCAAAAGATTCAATTCTTTCTTTTATTCCATTAAAAAAGATAACAAGTGTATACACATGAAGACCAACAATTAACTTAGAAAAAGCACTAGATTTATGTTCGCAAGATAGCAAAATACAAATCTAAATTCTTATTTACAGAGATTTGCTTCTTAATGAAATGTACGATCTTAAATATAGACCGTGTCCGAGAGAGTTTTTCTCAGATTTACATTTTTGGAGCGAGAGAGAGTGAAAGCTCTTATAATTCAGAGCTTGTCTTAGATTTGGTCTCAGAGAGAGCTGCTGCACATATACTACTATCGACTGTCTCGGAGAGCTTTTCTTACATTCTTGAAGAGCTCTTCTAGTTCAGAAACAGTTTTTCTTACAATCTCAGAGAGCTCTTATAGTTCAGAAAGAGCTGTTCTTGCAATCTCAAGAGTGCTTTTCTTACATTCTTGGAGAGCTCTTATAGTTCAGAAAGAACTTTTCTTAATCTCAGAGAAAGCATCTTGAAGATTTACATCGTCTCAAAGTGACAGATAAAGAGCTCAAATATTTACAGTCTCTGAGAGAGCTTTTTCTTACAGTATCATATAGAGAGCTCTTATTGATCAGGGAGAGCTTCTCCAAGATTTTATCTCGTAGAGAGCTCCTTCACATAAAGCCTAATATTTACAGTCTCAGAGAGAGCTTTTTCAAAGATTTACAATCTCAGAGAGAGTAAGAGCTATTACAGTTAAGAGAGAGCTCCCTACATAGTCTTATATTGACTCTCTCAGAGAGAGCTCGTCTTAGTCTCAGAGAGCTATTATGTTTAAGAGAGCTTTTCTCTGTCTTGGAGAGAGCTTTTATTAGTTTCACAAAAAGCTTCTTGAAGATTAACATAATCTCAGAAAGAGAGACAGATAGAGTGCTCCAAACATGTAGTCTAATACTGACTGTCTCAGAGAGAGCTCCCATACATGTAGTCTAATATTGACCGTCTCAGAGAGAGCTCCCATACATGTAGTCTAATACTGACTGTCTCAGGGAGAGCTCCCATACATGTAGTCTAATATTGACTGTCTCAGAGAGAGCTCCTTCACGTGTAGTCTAATATTGACTGTCTCAGAGAGAGCTCCTTTATGTGTAGTCTAATACTGACTGTCTCAGAGAGAGCTCCTTCACGTGTAGTCTAATATTGACTGTCTCAGAGAGAGCTCAAAGATTGAATCTCATAAAGAGCTCCAAGATTAACTGTCTCAGAGCTCTCAAGTTTAGTCTTACAGACAACTCTACTGGATTTCATTTCAGAAAGCTCCTCTCAAATTTACAGTCTTTTACAAGAGAGAGCTAATTAGTATCAATGAAAGGTCCTCTAAAATACAGTCCAGCTGAGAGAAGTGCAAGTTTTAGACTCTGCTAACTTTTTCAGTATCAGAGAGCTCTTTCATGATTTACACAGACTTTAAAATAAAGTGATGGCACACAGGCAGCTGCAGAAACAATGGTAATATTTCATACCTTGATTTTTAAGGCAAATGAACAAAAATAACAGAATCCAAAACCTTAGCTCTGTCAATCGTAGACATGTATAATTTACATGGTCTTGGATAAACCTACATCTCAGATCTATCAATAGTACACATCAACCAACACCTCAGCTCTATAAACACTACACAACTAGCATTTACTTGTATGGATAGGGAAACCCAAAGGTAAGCTCTATCAATAGAACTGACTGGATTTTCTAATGCAGCTCTTTAAAATAAGAAATGATGCAACCCACATCAATCAACCATGTCCTAGAGCTCTACACCGAGAAGGTGGTGTGTATCAGCCTATATACTACATAGGTCTCCGGTGTCAGTTAGGAAAATTACCTTTGGTTCATGTCCAGGCATAAAATTACAATCATGTCTATATACACATCAACGATTGGCTTTACTCCATATACACAACACTTATTATACATCATTCTGTCTGTAGTAATGGCACAGATTTTCTATTATTTTATTTGTTTTTAAAACACATCCAGCAGGAATGTAAAATTGTCTTTGTTGCTTCCCTTATTTTTCTCTATATATATTATGACACTGTGTGGAGGTATGATTGTATAACACACATAAATAACGAATATTCCTCCCACTTTCTCTCAAGTGACAACATTTAGCAGTGGTGTCTGCTAAAACTGTTTCCCTGTAACAGTTGTGTGTTTTTAGCTAGAACTGTTTTCCTGTAACAGTTGATGAACATCTCTGTATATGACCTTCAGGGTTTCTAGGTCTGGACTTGACTTCTGAAAGTAGACCAGGTACATCTTCTTATATAGCATACATACCTGATAATAAATCACACTAAAATTCATTAAAAGTATTTATAACTATCAACTTCTTCTCCATATTTATTATGAAACTACTTTGAAAAATCCATACACAAGATAATTGGAAACTATTGCTTTGAAACTGAAAAAAAAAATCATAAAATTAGATCCAGTAATTAATAAGTACATGGCCTTTTAGACCTAGACATTTTTCATGACATTGTGCATTCAGTCATGGACTGTTGGTAACAATGATTGTGGCATTTCGTCCTATCCTATCCTGGTTGTACACATTGGTGTGACAGAAGATCCTCTGTGTCGGGCCTTAACTGGAATAAGTACTTCAAACACAGCTGAATTTTGCTTTATTCTTTTTGATAAAATTGAATAAATCAAACATCACATGATTTAAGTGGAACTTTGTTTATAAAGAATCAATACAGAACTTAATCCTCAGTAGGCATGTATTCCTCACCATAAACAGTGGGTATAGCCGCTCACTGCTGCTACCTCCTTCTTCTAAAACAACAGCAAGGTAACATACCACTTTTTGCTGTGAAAAAAAGAACCAACATTTTTCTTTAACAAATAAACTGGTTTAGAAAAAGATGTCATAAAACCAGAAACCAAGCCATTAATTTTTGCAATAGTGATTTTGAACTAAATCAACCAATGATTAGTTTACAGACATAAGGGTTGTAATAAAGATTGTCGGTAAATTACACGCTAAATTAATTTATTAATATAAACGTATTCATGAAACCGTTCTTGTGCTCAAGCACGACTTCTATTCTCAAACCAATTTTCTTCTACCTTGATTAATCATGCGACACGGACAAAAAATCAAATGTAAATATTTGAAAAGGAAATATGCTTCCGAAGTCTTCCGAAAGCTCTTCCAAATCTTTGACAATTTTCAATTATTTTAGTAATTTGTCATTGGAACAAGGAATTGGACTTGAGCACAGAATCTGCGTTTGAACACAAGACATTTTCATGAATACTGGCCCTGGTGTTACGGAAGTTTGGGGTTGTATTATAGACAGTCTCTAAAAAGGCATCATATATACATCAATATATCGGAAAATTCATCTCTACTTACGTATCATTTCAAAATCAATACTGAAAATTTTTCATCAGCCTTGACATAAATATGGAAGCTGGAATGATGGGTCTGACACAGAGAAAAAGATGTTAAATTGAAATAACAGTTTATTAATTTGTCATAACAACATAATATTATCTCATAAAAATGTAATTGAAATATAACAACTATGTATCTTGTAATTATGACACAGTAATAATGATTTTCTATCTCATAATTACAGCACAGTTATCTTGTACTAAGAATAATCATCGGGTGTAGAGCCAACGCCGTACTTCTGATCTAGGTTCCGTTATCCCTTGCTTGGATACCCAGGGGTATGCAGGGCGATTGAGGAACGGGAAACTAAAGGCAATATTCAATCGCAACAAGCTCAGGATAGGTTGGTTTCTTTGTTGTATGTCTACCGGTTTCGGGCTCCGGTAGACATACAATAAAGAAACCAACCTATCCTGAGCTTGTTGCGATTGAATATTGCCTTTAACTTACTATCTAGTATCAATTAAGTAAATTTAGCTACTATCTATCTTGTAATGACATAGCTACATATGTTGTTATAAATATTTACTTTCTATGTCATTATTTTGAGATTCTAGGTGATAATAGTTAATATTACAACATAGCTTTGTCATTCATTCAAGATGGTAAGTTGTTATAACTGGATAGTACAAAATCACATTCAGAATTAAAATTTTCACAGCTACAGTTAGGTGCTGCATGACTAAAATGTAGTGAAAGTCAAGTACATCCACATGGGATGTACAGGGATACCAACCAGTGTGAAACAGGTAAAATCAATTTTAAATACAGAACTTACCATGGTGATAGCTTCAAGGATAACTATGTCTTTGATTTCGTTGATCTCAAAAAACTCTGCAGTTACTTGTCCAAACCAGTTCTTCATTTTCACATTAACTCCAACAGATGATATAAAAACCAGGGACTCTGAGGAAAGATAAAACATGACATAGGTCTAAATTTTTACTGTCCTTTTCAATGCATAGTTCTTTTTATAAAAGTATTGCATCAGCAGAAACCAACATGAATATATGGTATGAACTGGCCTTTTTTATAGCTGAATATGGGTCAATTTCCCTCTCCACTTTTGGCACAATTTCCCCAAATTTCAGCTATATTTTCCCCCTTTTCAGTAAAAAAAATCCCCACTTGTAGCTAAAATGGTATACAACCACATGATGTCTGTCTTGGTTCTATATTGTGTTTATTTTTTGTCAGTTCAACAACTGAGTGATTTATTCAATTTTCCCTGTGTTCATGTTATCATTGCCGACATATGTTACGACATGGTATACAATATCATAACAGTAAGACATACACTTCATTCTAATGCATATATGTGGTGGTCGATTTAAAGCATCTATAATGAACAGCGAGAAACAAAAATTAAAGATGTCATCCATGCCCCTCTCGTACTCTCTCCCTGGCTCTGACAAGTATGGCCACCCTTTCCCGCCAGCGGTTCATGTGCCTACAGCGCATTTTTTCCCCTTTTTCAAAACAGGTTTTAAATTTCTAAACCTGCATCAATTCCTGACCGAGTCTGGACCAATTATTATAATAATAGTTGGAAATGTAAAATGACAATTGATATATTGACAAGTTTTCTGAAGCTCATTTAATCTCCAAATTTGCTGCACTATTTTTGCATTCAGCATTCACCAAAACAATCAACATTAAAACGGTTTGAATTGCCAGGTGTTGTAACATGCATGCTGAATTACAAATCAAAGCGGGGTAAAAATACTGGGAATGAAGCTGAGAATACAGATATACCTGACTGAATCTGACAACCGAAGATGACTGTAGTCAAAGCTGCTGCCGCACAAACACCTAAAGCAGCAACAAAAATCTGAAAGAAAATGTGACAATTTTATTAATTTTGATATGCATTTAGTAAAGATAGTCCAACCTTAGGTAATATATCCTATATATGGGTGTGTGCTTTAATTGTCTCAAAATAAATATAAGGGGTGTCCATATTTAATAGTTCAGACCTCATGGGCTGAACACTTCTACAATTTACACAAGACACACCCATGGTCATGGTCCCCACCACAGGAATATTGTCCCTCCATATCATTTTGGTGCAAACACTGAAACAGAAAAGTGGATGCCTAAGGATGAAGTTGTAAAAGAAGTGCATCGATTAGGTTGCCTTACAAGCGTCAGCTGTAGGGAATTCCCCTTTAGCTCAGCGGTAGAGCATCAGGCTGGAGAGCCAATGGTCGCGGGTTCGAGCCCCAGCAATGACACTATCTTTATCCCTTTCCCTCGTCCTACTAAAAATTGGTGCCGTTGACCCTCCCCATTGAAGGTAGGAGAACCCTTGGCGGAACCTGGGTTGGTATTTGAAAAAGGGAGGGATAGTGTAAAAGAAGTGCATCGATTAGGTTGCCTTACAAGCGTCAGCTGTAGAGTATTTCCTTTAGCTTAGCGATAGAGCATCAGACTGGAGAGCCAAGGGTCGCGGGTTAGAGCCACAGTGACTGCACTATCTTTATCACTATTCCTCGTCCTTTTACATAGTTTGTTCTGTTTGTTATTGGTTAGATTTTTTCCTGTGCCTCATTTAATACAAACCCAAACCTGTCTTATCCTTCCCCCTTACTTCAATCTGTTACCTTATCCTCTGAAAATGATTAATTATTATATAATATATATATATAGTCTGTCATTTGTGCTGCATTAACCCAAAATCTTTAATTAGTTGAAGGTGGTCACTATATTGTAGAACTAGAACTAGTTTGTCGTATGCTTTATTGAATATCGCTGCTTGCACGCACAGCCGACATAGATGCTTGTTCATAAGTTACCTTTGAGGTGAGGTCGCCAGGAAGGAGTTCATCGACCAAAGACTTAAACTTTACACATCTGTAGAGGCAATGAAGCACCAAATATACAGGTACAAGAGTTACAGCAACTTTAGCTACATTAATGGGAGGCTGCTTTATAGAAATTTCTTTTCCTTGTTGTCCATAACAAACTCGATTGACACATTTGACTGAACGTGTTCTAAAAGACGCGTCCATATCTGCCTGTTGAGGGGAACTTGGTTTTGACATGCCGCTTACTTCATCTTTACTTGCAAAATGGCTGAAAAAAAGTGTCCTCAGTTCAGTGTTTCATCTTAGGCCTTCACTTTATAAGCTGCCACCATGGAAGCGACTTTACATGTCTTTCCAAACTAGTGGGAAATTCTTGCCGACCGGCCTGTGCTGTTGCCGCGAGAGAAGAGGGACAATTCGTTGTGCCGCCTTGGAATTGGGAACGGGAACTGTCATGACCGACATAACCCCTGTACGGAAAAGGGGAATAACTCTTCCTGTTTTACCTCGTGGGCACGGTTCCGTCAGTGTAAATAGTATGAGATGGGCTCTTAAACTTTTCCTCAAATTGATAAAACAAAAAGTGGAAATATATGCCGTTATTCTAGAGATTTGACACATTTTCTTACATTTTTCTCGATAATAGTCAATACACGGATACTTCAGGTGGTAGGTAATTTCAAACATTATTGTCTAAATGTGGAATTTATAGATTTATTTTTTATTATCTAATGATTTAGAAATTGTCGATATTGTGTATTTCAAGGGGGTAAAACTTGTACGCCGCAGTCAACCGTGAAAATCACGGTTTTTCATATATAATTAGATATTGAGTGAAAATTGTTTGAAATTATTGCATAGATTTATAAAAAATATAAACAATAGCGTTAATGAGAAATTAAAATATCTCTATATTCCTGGTACGGGGTTTTTGGACGGGAGCGGGAGCGGCGTAGAAGATTTACCTACCACCACGGAATTCACTGATACTTCAGGAATGCATGTATACAGGCACCGACTTAGATTACATCTAATCTAATTCCGTGATACAGGTAAGCGTTTTCATGAATTATAATATTCAATGCAATTTTGCGCCACAAAATTGCATTCAAAAGTGACTTTAAAGACAAAATCAAGAATATTTACAAATGATTACTGCAAATGTCATTATTGACATTGTTCTTGACATGGGTACCTATACCAACCAACTTCCATATTTTTTTCATTTTGAGGAAAAGTTATATGAATAACTTCTTCTTGTGGATAATAGCAATCCTTCACATAAACTGAAGATTACATGCTATGCGCTGGGAAATGTACAAGGGAATAAGGGTTATTTTTTAGATTTTTAACATATATAGATAAAACTATTTACAGGGTACAGATTTAGAATGTTGAAGACAGGTATGACACAGGGATAGCAGACTTGAATGCTTCCACTGTGTCAGATGATACGGCTGAATGAGGGAGATGATTTCATTGACTGATGGTGCGAGGATAGAAGGAAAATGTATACGTATCTTTTGTGGTCTGTGTGGCTGGATCTGGTTCTACTGTCAGCTGGTATTAAAAGGTTTGTTGGATAAATTGCTAATACATTATTCAAAATTTTGTAAAACATGACCAGTCTGAAGTATAATCTGCGAATGTGAAGGGGAGGCCAATGTAGTGTTTCCATCATTTCAGTTACAGAGCTGGTGTTATGATATCTGTTGCAGACAAACCGTGCAGCTAGGGGGACACCTGAAGTTACAGGGACTGTAGATGATTTTTCACCATTTAATACTACGGACTGTGTTCTGTTGGATAGGAATGAAGAAATCCAGTTAAGTGTGTTGTTCTGTATAACATAGAACCTTAGTTTATAAAGTAGTTGGGGGTGAGAATCCTTGTCAAATGCTTTAGCGAAGTCCATAATTATAACATCAGTCTGGAAGTTGTTGTTCTGTGTGGAGGCAGGATCCTGGATGACAGAAATTAGCTGTGTTTCACAAGATCGAGCTGGCCAAAATCCATGTTGTAAGCCATATAAAATTTTGTTGTTTTCCAAATGTTTCATAATGTTACTACACGAAATATGTTCGAGGAGCTTACAACAAATGCAGGTGAGTGAGATGGGATGATAGTTTATAGGATTTTGTTTATCACCTTTTTGAATACAGGACATACATCAGCATGGTTCCAATCATAAGGTACTGCGCCCGAAGTTAGTGATTTTTCAAAGAGTAGGGAAAGAATTGGTGCTTACAAAAGATTTAGATTCTTTAAGAATTCTGCCATGTATTTCATCGGGACCAGTGGCTTTGTGGGGATTGATGTTGTTAAGTAATTTTTCAATGCCATAACGTCTCTAAGTGAGTTAAACACGGAATCTAAGTACAGTACCGTCTCTGCTATAACTACGGGGTTGTATTTGGGTGGCTTATTAATACATAATCATATCGTAAAGTTAAAATAAATAATTTTGTAGATTATTAAACCCATGCGCTGAATAAACGGGAAAACCCCTATTGGGGATTTCCCATTCAAAACGAGGCCTTACTAATTGGGAATTTCCACGTTACACAGGTTCATATATATTGTTAGTTAGTCTCGAGAACATTCATGATACATATGTAAGGATCAACGACGGAACCAAGTAAAATAGCACTTTTGAGTTTATTTAACAGGGATTAGCCTGCAGGTCCGAGAGAGACTAGGCCTACCGAGTACATTTCTGAGAGTGACAGCTGTATACTGGCTGTTGTCGGCCATTTTGTAACTTGTGGAATCTTTTGTGTTATATAGTGCATAATGTATAAACACAATCATTACAGTGACATAGAAATAGATGGTGGAACTATTTGCAATGCAACACAAAATTTCGAGTCGGATTTGGGAAGTGATGATCTTGATACTGATTGTGCACCACATATCGAACATAGATCTACACATTTCCATGCAGCACATTTTCCATCAAAAGTCCAAGGGCACGTTTCTGAGGTCTTTGACTCCGGTATTGGGGATAGTTTGAAAAGCCAGGATTTAGGAAAGCATTTCCAGGATATGCAAATTTATGATTCTTACAATGAGGAGCCCGAGACGAAGTGTCGTGAGGTAAACAATGAGACCCGTGCTGAACCTGCGGAGTATCGTCCCACCACTCAAGAGGAAATTGTGTACGACCAGGACGAAGAAGGGGACACGTAAGTATTTATATGCATTCATTTCTGCGAAAAGGACNGGGGGGGGCAGAGGTTTCTCTAACTGAACATTGACAAAAGTGATCATTGCGCCGAGAAAGGTTGCGCGTCATTCAAGTATGTATAGTTTTTCTCGTCGGCCAAATACGAGCGTTTCATTGGTTGAAATAGTCACATGGTCTTTTCAACGCAAGTTACAACAGCTCGAAGTATGGTAAGCTTAAAACCAAGTGTGAATATTAATTTCAAGTATTTAGATATACGTTGACAGGAGTATCTCAAAGTCATTTTTGTTTTATGTAAAAATGTGATACATTTATCTTCTTATTTGTTATGAGGGAAAACTTGTTCGTGTTTTTAAATACTATAAGGACCTCGCCTTATTCGTTGCTAAGGCCTCTCTGCTAAGGCCAATTTAACATTTGAAAATAACTATACAGTTGAAAAAAAAATATATATCTAGAGTAATATGGTATAAGTTTTATTAGCAATAATTCAACATAAGAACTAATTCACTATAAAATTAGATGATTTGTTGAACTGTTGTTGTTGTTGGTATGTTATTTTTTACTACAAAATTGACTATTTATGTAGATATTTGCTTTACATTTTACAGGCAACTTCATTTGGCCATTATCCAGAAAATACCAGTACTGTGTCTGTACTTCATCAATCTTGTCCCTCAATTCTATCTCCTGAATAAGCAAAACAATTTGATGCAGACACCCCTCCACCTGGCAGTGATGACAGGAATGGCGGACATTGTGAGACGTCTGATTGTGGCAGGAGCTGATATAACGCTTCGTGATCACAGGGGCGACACCCCTCTGCACATAGCGTCAAGAAATGGTGACAAAGAGATCGTCAGATTGCTCTTAGATCCAGTGTCCTATGAGGAAACGCTGCAAAATTCATACAAGATCCCATACCAAAAAATTCCACAAAATTTGGAGCTTAGAAATTATAATGGCCAGACGTGTCTACATGTAGCTGCAGAGGGTACATTTTTAGAAGCGCTACATTTGCTACTGTGCAAAGGATCCAACATCAATACAATGGTAGGTACACTGGTAGCCTCATTAGGGCGTGTTTTAGTATCAGAAAGGAAAAAAGTAGTTGTCGAGAGTATTTAGGTTGGAAGTTGATTAAGCTCAGTCAAAGTAAATCTTTTGTCCAACTTGAAAAAAAACAACACTTTTTATAGATGATACTGTTTGATAAGATATTACCTGATGTTAATCATTTAAAATCATATCAATTGCCTACAATGGACCCAGTTCAGTTTCGCTGTAGCCTACACCTGGAAAAAGATGTCCCACATTGGTTACAATTTCATTTTTTTTGTTATATGTATAAAGTTTTACACTTCTTCAATTAGGCCTAAGTGCATTCTAAACATTGTTCTCTTTTGTTACAGGACGGTAAAAGTGGGAGGACAGTATTACATTATGCAGCAGAAACTAACAACAGACATCTCTTGGAGTTTCTCCTCCAAAACTATAAGGTCAAGGTTAATGCAAGGACGTATGGAGGTCAGACACCTCTGATGCTTGCCCAAGGTCGAACACACAATGCTGTTGTCCAGAGGCTGATGCAGGCTGGAGCAGTGTTTGAACATCCACAGGAAGATTCCGACAGTGATGATGATATGGTAATTATTAAGTGGTTTCTCATTTGATAAAGTTGAGATATATTTTAGTACTATAATTGGTGTTCAATGGAAGCAGTGCAATAATAACTACAGGGCTATAATGTAAAAATATTTAAAAGTCAAATTGAATGACATTTCTATAGCTGTAAAGCAGTAAAAATATTCAGTGCATTACTCTTTGTCTTTTCAGGATGAGTCTTCTACGTAGCTATGATATTATGTCCAGCCCTGGACATAACATGTAATCCTTCTCAAGGTCATTGCACAGTTCAAGGACAAAGAGAGGTCGGGCTACCTGCAGCATGACAACCCACCTCTGTAACCCAGCAGAGCTAGGTAGCCTCCAGCACAGCCAAGCTGAAAGACGGCCGGAGGGATTCAGCGTCCAGGAAAATATTGCCAGTCATGACAATTTGTCTGTAGTTCTGATTGTTTTATATTTGTTCTACATTGCAAAATGTTCTGTGGCAACTGTATTTTAGACCATGCCACCATAGTTTAAAACAAGAATAACTACATGATTAGTCAAATCACTGCAATAAAGTATCATTAATCAGACCAAAAGGAACATGATTCATCTTCGACTGAAAAGTGACAACATTTAATCTTTATGGTAATCAGAGCACTGATCATGAGAGAAGATCACAAATTACTTCATAACAGACAACCAACTATAAATTTATTGTGTCTGTGCACTTGGATACACAAAGAACTGATTCATCAGGACATGGATACACAAAGTACAGTTTTTCACTAGGACACAAAGAACAGTGATTTACTAGGACATGGATACACAAAGTACAGTGTTTTATTAGGACATGGATACACAAAGAACAGTGATTTATTAGGACATGGATACACAAAGTACAGTGATTCATTTGGACATGGATACACAAAGTACAGTGATTTATTAGGACATGGATACACAAAGTACAGTTTTTCACTAGGACATGGATACACAAAGAACAGTGATTTACTAGGACATGGATACACAAAGTACTGTGATTTATTAGGACATGGATACACAAAGAACAGTGATTTACTAGGACATGGATACACAAAGAACTGTGATTTATTAGGACATGGATACACAAAGTACAGTTTTTCACTAGGACATGGATACACAAAGTACAGTGATTTACTAGGACATGTATGTCATTACTTGGTACCTGTTCTGTATTTGACACCGGAAGGAGAGACCCTGCCTTGTAACTTCATACACACTTATAGCATATATAGGACATACACATTGTAACTGAGGGGTGTTTCTTATACTGACCATTAACCATATCAGCTGTAGAGGGATTCACTTTATTGATCATATTATGTTACTTTTGAAAAACAATAGGAGATTCAATTTAACTTTACAATTAATTTTATCATATATAAGGAAAACATAAACTTCTGTACAAACAAATAACAAATTAGTTATTACAAATTAGTTAACATAAGTACATTTAATTATTATAATCATGTTAAATTACATATAATTAACATTACCATTTTTACAAGTGATGTAATAGGTAACAATTCACATGTGATGAAGAGAGGTAAACTTTATAAACAGATTGGTGTAGCACAAAACGAGTCATATTGTGTCTGATTAAGTTTGTGCTTGTGTAGTATTTTCCTGAAGCGTTTTCCTGATTGTTAAACAATATGTTATTGTGTTAAGGAATGTAAGACAACATTTTCCAACATATGTAACTATTTGATAACCTCAACCAAGAGTGTTTAAATTCAGTGATCTTGGAGGTGTCGCCGTAATGATGTCAGCAATCCTGTCAAAGAACACTGATCACATGGTGATCAACGTGTTGAGGATTGAGAGGAAGCATACAAACATGTAAACACTTCAAATGATGTGTCTTCTTGTGATAACAATGAACTAACTAGGGAATTAGTGATGATGTCATGGACAGTAAAAAAAAGTAAGCTATGAGTGAGACAGGGTGGTGCCTCGAGAGTAAGCTAAGAGTGAGACAGGGTGGTGCCTCGAGAGTAAGCTAAGAGTGAGACAGGGTGGTGCCTCGAGAGTAAGCTTATGAGTGAGAGAGGGTGGTGCCTTGAGAGTAAGCTATGAGTGAGACAGGGTGGTGCCTTGAGGGTAGTGTATATATCACTTGAGATCACTTTATTGTTTTATAGCTTAACTGGTGAGAAAACAGCTAATTTTTTTATTATGATTTATTTTTCATGGTTTTAAAAACTGAAAAAGGTAAAAAAAAAAAAAAAACCAGAAAAGAATGAAAACATTAAAAAAAAACATTAAAATTTTATTAAATAATTGAATAATTGTTTGTTGATTTTTTTTCTGGCTATTTGAAATGTGTTATTTGTTCCGAACTGCCAACTTCGATGTTTACCAGTAGTTTACTTCAACTGTTTTACCCAAGTTTGACAAGTTTATTGTTTTCCCGAGATACTAGAATAAGAGAAAGGTATCTCCTAGTGATTACAATGCACAACATGAGGTATCGGGGTATATAATACACAGTCAAATATAATCTTTATTGATGGGAAATTATTAATGCATAATTCCGTTGAAGCTGCATAATCAGTTTTACAGGAAGAATTAAAACATTAGAACCAGTTTATTTTAAAATAAAAACAATTTTCCTTGAAGCAATGAAGAATAATTTCTGAAAAATTTGGTTTTACATTCAAGAAAATCTTCAGTAAAAAAATCTTCCAGCAAGGCCCTGAGCACGTTTATCAGTCCCAAAACGCCCTAGAACTACATGAAGTTGCCTTCACGTGCACGATTCTTGTCTTCATGATGTGAAGGGCCTATGGCACCTTTCCCCAACAATTTGATTCAGAAGGCCATTAGTAACCTCTTTTACCAGTGTCTAGTACCAATGTGATGGTGTAGACATGTGCTGGTTCATTTTTCCAATCCATACCAGTTACTGGGTATACTATGATATGAGTTGGACTTTCACCTCGTCCATTGGAGATGACACGGTTTCTACGTGTGTACTACATGCACAATGTTTTATGAAGGCCGTCAGCTGATCGTAAATTTACCCATCCTTCAAATATATCTGCCTATTATGCAATACAAATGTGTACGATTTTTTTGCCATACTTAAAATCTTACATGTATTTCACAATGCTTTGCATGCCATATTCTAGAACAACTCGTCACAAGTGTCAATTTCGTTTATACCTATATTGTTTACGACCCGGATAGGGGCCTGTTTGCAACTATATCGTGATCCGATGCGTAGAGAGTAAAATGAAATTGAAAGGGTCTAGATCAACAATCCGAATAAACATGCCACCCGAATGATAGAATCATTCTGGAAGTGTAATCGGCCCACCTCGCTTATTCACATTTCATGTCGTTGTACAAAATTACTTCATATCGTTGGAAAGTCTGGAAAAAATCTTTTCAACATTTAAAGCATTTTCCTCCCGCAGACATGATTTATGTGTCCTCCAAAAGCACACTATTTCGATGTTTGGAAGTTTTTCTTGGTCGTTGTGTCACCTTTTCCTTATTTTTGAGGCTGACATAGATGTTGTTCTATTTAGTATTTTATTTTTGATAACAAGACGAATATCAGGATAATAATATTTTTTAAACACTGAAAATAAACGGCACTAAAACCTTTAACATAGTTCATGACATTCATTTGACTATTAGTATCCTGATATAGTTTTTAAATCAATTATCGGTTTGCCCGAACCTTAATGTGTATAGTTAATAGAAAGCTATAGTTTCCATGTTTGGCCACCGATTTATTTGTCTTCGTCTCTCATTTTCTGTCCTCTTGGAGTTCGCTGCCTTCAGTGCGAGCTAGCAACTCAGTTAATTGTTTCTCTCCATTTAGAAAACAACATTTTGAAATAATAGTAAAACTAGACCCCGACCATTTTCTCGGAATCAATAAGAAGATCAGTCAAGCTTTCTGAAAGCACTAACATGCGAAAAATCCCAAAAGGTACTTGGACTACTTTCAGTAGAAACTATAAAGGCGTTGGAAGTTCATCTGGATTTATTGTTGGATTTAACACAAAACCCCTACATAATTATGTACATATTGTGTCATTGAGTCGAACGCAGCGTACGAAACTAAAAGGAAACCTTCACATCACTCATTCTGACAAAAACTAAAAGTAAAACTGATCATATATCAGTTTCCAGGGAAAGAGTTTGTAGATCGATCTGTTCAGATAGTTAAAGGTTTTTATCTCTGTAAAGATAACTGGTTTTGTATTCAGTGTACAGATAACGAGTGGTTTGGCTTGCTATACAATGTACCTGGTCTATTAGGACTGTTTTAACAACCACACATCATATCTCATATCTAACGCCATAGTAATCGTATATTATACCGTTCGGTATTTGATTCGCTGTTGTCATTACATTATGTATTTTTGCCATTATGTGATGTGATTTATAATTATATGACGTGCATTTGTTACCATATGGTATGTGCTTATGTCATTTATATGATGTGCATTGATCACTGTAGGATGGGGTTTTATAATGACATTATTTTATGTTAATTACTGTGGGATGGGGTTTTATAATGACATTATTTTTTGTTAATTACTGTGGGATGGGGTTTTATAATGACATTATTTTATGTTAATCACTGTGGGATGGGGTTTTATAATGACATTATTTTATGTTAATTATATATTTTTCTGGCGTTACATGGTGTCCTAACACTATTATATCAGAATGTCCCGCTATCAACACACTCTTAATTTAAATATTCTCAAAATTCTCATTTCCTCTGAAATATTTTAACCATTTCATTTAACGTTTGAATAAATACTAGCTCGAATATTTTTTCATTTACTCTGATATGTTTTAACCATTTCAATTAAATTTCTCATTTTCTCTGAAAGATTGTACCATTTCATTTAACTATCTCGAACAGTTCATGATTTCCTCTAAACTGTTTTATCATTTCAATAAAGTTTGGATAAATATAGCCTTAAAATATATATCTGATAACGATACTCGAGAACGTTCTTCGCGTTAAAATGTTAAAAGTAATTCCGGAGTTGGGAGTTTTCGCCTTTGCATGCATAGGTTGATCAAGATTAAGGTTAATTTTTTTTTTTTTTTTTTTTTTATAGTGAGAATGCACGTTTCGCTATATGTGAGTCATTATGTTATATTATACAATATGTATGTCTACAGTAATGAATCCATAATATGTTATTTCCTGGTTTAGCTGGGTTTTATCAAGTTACCTACATGTATTAGAAACACTGTAATCTACAAAACCCGCGTACTTAACATTTAGCCTGTCATAAACCACATACTGATTGCGTCTATTTTCCCCCACTATAGCACGAATCACCGGTTACAATTTTCGCGTTTTTTCTCTCTAAAACCACAAGCAAATATAGACACGTATACCAGGAACTAACCCCTATAATTATATATACATGATTTATAAATCCAGAAAAAACAATTTATTTTCAATTGAAAATTTACATACTATACCGTTATTTCATTTGAACTTATGTTGTCAAAAACTCGATATATTACAATAAGCGTAATAAAAATATGCTATTTATTGGCCCCAAGTACTGATCATCTCTTCAAGATAAAAATACACTACTAAAGCAAAAATTTCTAGACGGAAAATTTACTAAATATTAGCGAACATGCACCTTGACTCATCTGGTCAATTTACTCGTGGACACAGTATGAAACTGTATTCCTTGTCTGTCACATACAATATGCCTCGTGATGAGTAAAGCAATGAAACACATTGACTGAGAAAAACAAAGGAATTCGTTATCAATATCCGTTATAAGTAATTCTGACTACATGTATGTATGATTGGTACTAACTCAAGAGATAGGAATTTTCTATTGACATTGCTCATCCTCTATCATCAGGTAAACCCGCACACGGATATTACATCCCATTATAGGGACTTCAAGTTTTATAAATGAACATTTCCTGATAAAACCGCAAAAATTACTCAGCTAGATATATACACTTAAAGCGCCGGCAAGACTGTTATAGTCCATCTATCTAACTTTAACTTTTAATTAAGTCAGCACGCTATTTAAAGACATCCAGACAAAAGAAACTAGGACAAACAACCATAACAATTCTACCTTTGAACTCACACACGAAAGAAAAGCACGACGTCAGGCTATTACCGACGTAGAT